CCTACGATGCCACTGAATTCAGTTAAAATAGTTGACCTCTATTTCGCCAATGTATTTTTTTTAAGGTAGCCAAGTTTATTTTTTTAGCCCTAGGGCTACAAATTTCACTTTGGCATTTTGCATTAATTCACTATAAATGTCGATTTTTTTTTTTTTTTTTTTTTTTTAACCAAAGGCACAATTTGCTCAGAAGGACTATTAACTTCGTTAAACAATGGTACCTAGAGCCATCAAACATAATAATGTTTGTTTAAAACATAATAATGTAAACATCAGAATAATGTTTGTTTCCACCTAAGTATGGGTATCTGGAAGCCCAAATTTGGAATTTGTTTTATTATCTATTTCATATTTTGTAAAACTTTAAACAAATTTTTTATTAACAAACTCAACGATTTTAAAGCCAGGAATGGCAACACCATACAGAAAAGAAAAAATCTTTTTATCTCCAGCGCGTGAGACTGTGTATCCAAAATGCTAATGATAGGCTCATTTTAAAATTATTTTGCGATATTGTTATTGAACTAAATTTCATGGTTTAAGTGCGAAGCACATGATATTTAATAAATAAAGGTAACACACAAAATGTTAAAAAAAAAAGGCCCTTTTATGCATAATGTAAAATCTGAAATTTTAAAGTTTTTTTGGTTTTCGTGACATACTTTGTCAACCATCATTTTATTACTTTAAACAATGCATTTTGCCGTTCAGCAGATCATGACGAACTATGGATTAATGGTTTCACACATTGAACAGCTTTATTTGCCTGATTTGTATGGTTAAGAATATCATGCCAGACAAGAGAAAAGAAAATTTTGCAGTCTTTCATTATCTTAAGATGCTGTCGAATGTCGCATTTTATAGTCCAAGTTATTTTTCTCTATTTCAACTCGATCATAAACCTCCCCTAACTGGTGATGAAAGAATCTTATGGCAATGTTTCTATTGAATTATTTAAGCTAATACGATAACCAGTTTGATCTGTTGAAGGCCCGGTAGCGCAGTGGCTAGCCCGTCGTGCAACAGCACCACATGTCCGGGGCTCAATCCCCGGCTGCGCAAGGTTGATTTGCCCTTTATCCCTTTAGAGGGTCGATAAAATGAGTATCAGGTTCGCTTATTGCAAACTAAACACCATGGGTCCTGTGCCAAGCCGACCACTTGTCCAGGCAATATGTACAAACACCCTGAATTTATTTAATTTGATCTGTTAATTTAAATGCCAGTGCCAAAGATCCATGAGCTTCATGATATTACACCATTGAATCAACATGCAAAACACATATTTCCCCTCCAAGATCAAGGAAAATCAAAAAACGATTCCATCTAGACGTCCAACCACCAACAGACCTCACATACCAATACTCAACATGTCTGAGTTTTCTTTGCTGTTCTGATAAACTGAATCTCAATATTGATTGATGTTGGTTCTGTCAATAGCAGGACTAGATCTTAATTTTTACCAACTTTCAAATAGGTTAAAATAAAACAGATCATAAAAAAAAACATAGAGATTTAAACTACTGGAGGCATGGGTATACTGTAATGTAATATATAAGTGCACTAACCGATAATAATCAGCCTCATGTTTAATGCAGCTCACCCAACACAGACAGATAAAAGTACAGTTAAAAGATTAAAATGAAAGATTAATAGAGGTATACTGTATGTTTTTTATGCTCTTATGTAGAAAATAAGTAACATGATAATTTAATAATTACAAAGTTAAATATTATCTTGTCTGTTTAACCTACTGAACCCTAAACAAAGAACTTTCAGTTTTTTGACATACAATAATTTATAAATAAGTATGTCAATTTTAAAAATCAGTGAGATCACGTTTAGTTTCATAATTAACTGAAAATTTAAATCACAAAAATGGGAAAAACCTTACAATAACATACATAAATTCTTGCAGCTACATAAATGAACTAATTTGTAATCATTGCTTAAGTTTATTCATGATACAAAAAATTTAATAATCGATGCTGGTTAAATTACATAATATAATACACTAACTATCACATCTTATGTTTTTTGAGGCAGGATGTAAGAGCGAAGAACTGTACATATATTTCACTGTTTCAAGAAAACACTTTATTTTTTAAAACATTTACCTTCACCAGTTAAGTCAAAATAACATGAGATACTTTAATGACAAAAAGAGAAATTAAATAACTTATTTCATAAAAAATTTTCAAGAGAATTTTTCTAAATAAAAAAATATTTATACATAAGTTAATTAGATATAGATTTATCTCTGTATTTCAAAAAAGAGAGAGAGACAGATAGAGAGATCATTAAAGATCATAAATAATAGCATTCATACTTTGGCTGATAGAAGAATTCAGTGATAAAATGATTATATAAAAAATCATACATTAAATGTATAATAAATATTTGATTGAAAGAAAACTTTTTATCAGCACCATTTAAAAATGAAAGATAATGAAGAAGACTCAAAGGAGTGAATTCACTGTTTATTAACATTAATGCTCCAGCGCAAATAAATGTCTGAAGCCCCAAAAGAGTCAATTCACTGTTTATTAACATTAATGTTCCAGCGCAAATAAACACCCAGTCATTTATTCGCACTGAAGATATTCAGTTCATTAGCAAAAACTCCATAGGTATTCAATTTTCATGGTATTGCTTTTCCAAAAATTCAAACTTTTATTTTTTTAATTCTCATTTTATGAAAACCCAATATTATATTAAACACAGCAAAATTATATAAATTTGAATCCAATTTTTATTTTACAACTTTATTAAAAGAAATTTTTATTCATTAGAAAAACATATTATTATAACATATGAACTTAAATTATAATTGTTTTTGATTTGAAAATAATGCCAATTATATGCTAAATATCATAATTTCTAATTATCATTCATTATATACAGTAAAGGTTCAACTATATGAAAAGCTCGAGAAATGCAGGCTATGTGAGAATTCTGGGTAGTTGAGCATATACAAAATGCTATTCATGATTGAAAAGGCAAACAAACAGAATTTTTTTTATCCAAAATTATAAAATTAACCAATATTTTAAAAAATTCATTTCAGATATAGAAGCTGACATATTTCACAGGCCTTAAACATATATAAGTTAGACAACCTTTTAGATTATGAAATACTATCGACCATGAAAGTTAGCAAATAGATTATCAAATTTGCACCAATCATTCCAGCAGAACTTTAAAGGAATAGATCTTTCTTCATGTACTTAGATAATCAACAGATAAAAATTCCCAGACATGGCATATTAAAAAAAAATGGAATCACTTATCACAATATTTCATAATGTATCATCATTTTTCATTTTCCCTTCATTTCAAATAAAGCTGCATATTGTGCCCTTTGGCCCATGCTTTCCTTGATGCAAGGACTCCATAACTTTGAAAATACTCTGCTGTACAGTGTTTCATAGTAAGAAAATCCAAAATTTTAACCATTTTCCCTCGTATTTTGAAAATTAAATTGACTTCAAATTCAGGAATTTTACATGTGCATATTAAAACTTTAATTACATTTACATAGTACATTACATACAAGGAGTTCCATTCAGATTCTTACTTTATCATGAAGAAAAAATCAAGAGATTAATCAAGGTGTTAGTAGTAACATACATTCCTAAGTGACAACTGCATTACACAAAGAAGTCCTTCTATTCAGACCCTTATGTTCTGAGGACACAAAATAAGAAACTTCATCTCAAATTTGTGGAAAATATCTTCCCACAATTTCATTGGCATAGGAACTTTAAAAATTAAAAACTAAAGACAAATATATATATATATATATATATATATTTTAACTGGACCCTCTAACAAAACAACAAAGCATAATGTGATCTGCAAAAGATACACAACCACTCAAGAAGGTTGGGCAATAGAAGCCTGAAATCAAGGTCAGGTTCATGACAAAACAGAATAATAGGGCAATCCTATTCCACAATGGAAAAGCAGGAATATTAAATATCTACATAACCAAGTGTTTACTTGTAGTGTGCATATATCTCTGAGATCATCCTAATGAAAAGTTGAAAGACTGATTCCTCCATAATGACAATACCCCAACCTTCTGGTCTGCCCAAACCACTGTTTCTCAGATCAACCTAGTGACATCACTATCCTGCTCACCCAACCTTACCCAATGTACTTTTGGCTTTTTCCAAAAATCAAAGCAACATGCATGGAGAATGTGTTGAGAATTATCTGACTTGATTTCAGCAGCGCACAAAGAATAGGTAAAATTGATTCCTTCTAATTTTCAGGACTTTTTTTAGATCGATATACAGTCTACAAAAATAGACAATACACATGGTTCCTGAAAACCTACGTTGCTTTTTCTTTCTTTTTTTCCTAAAGTGCACACACTTCTATAATACCCTATCTACTTCCAGTTGCATTTCCATAAAATATATTTCCTCGGTACTTTCTGATTATCTGCAACTCTGGTTTCAACATGCAATAGAACTGCTGTATTTCTGGCATATTTTCAAATACATTTGGCCAACCTTTACATATATGTACCACAAACGTGTTTGAGTATATGTAGATTTGCATACTTTAATCATGATTTTGCACGACAGTGTCCATAGGAATATAAACATCAGCCTCACAGATTTTTGTTTTTTCTCAAATTTCTTTTTCTTTTCAAATACTATTTTTATTTCTATTTTATGAACATAAAAGTTAGTGAACCCTAAAATTAATCAAACAGGCATTTTCATACAATTCATTAAACTGTCAATGAATCAGCAACTTTTCGTGGCTGATAATCAGGAAGTATCATTTCCTTTTTTCCACATTACACGTAACACTGTGCAATTGAAAGTTTTATGTATTTGAACATTCATTGTGCTCCTTGATTAAGCTGCTTAGAAATAAAAATTATTTTATTAAAAAACAGATATGAATACCCAGCTATATAATTTTAAAGATAGTATAGAATCTTTTGAAAATGATCAGATATTAAAAATAAGAAACAAAATATATACTGGTTTTAGTATGTACATACTTTAATAATGCAAAGAAAACAAAAGTATGCTGCTTATATCAATGATGATGCATGTTATGACATTTTCTTAAATAAAAATTATGAATTCTTCTCTTCATGGAAGCATATGTTTAAAATTTTAGAACAGGATTCTTTAGCCTCTTCATATTCACCTTTTGAACCATACATTTGAATTTTTGCTTCTAAAATGTCTTTTAGACGATATTCTTCTTTCCTGCACAGAATTCTCGATTGTTTATGCTGCGCCACTTGAGCCTGAAGAGCACTAAGTAGATGTTCTGAGCTAGAATCTTGTTCTTCTTTTAACAGTTTCAACAGTATTCCAACAACATCTGCCTGATAAAAGGCTTCTAAAGTTTAAGAAAAGAAATACATAAATAAAAACAGTTTATTGAAATTTATCATGCATTTTTACTATTATTCTATATGGATAGGAACGAGTTTTGTAATAACTGCACAGCAGACAGAGATTTAAAAATAAAATTGTTTTAACATTTCAGAAGAATATAACAATTTCAACTTTACTCAAATATTCAGAATACACATTTGCAATAAAAATTAAATAAATATCTTTTTTATGTTAAAATTATTACATATATGTGCACTTCAAAATTAATTTAAGCATTATAATTAAATCTGTTATTTAAATACCACTAATCAACAAGAGACAGTGAATAAAATATTTATTACTGTTTGATTAATGATACAAAAGCACATTGTGTTTTGAAATATTTTCTCATTTAAAGATTTTTAAATATATAAATTACATGCACAAATTAAGTAGAGATGTCAAAGATTTGCTGAAAAGATTAATTAACAGAAGAATACAGAATCAGAAATCATAAACTTAATCCTTTAATAAATATTCTTCAGTCATAATACTGTTAAAAACTTATGAATTAATGCAGTGCTGATGTATGTAGTTTAGCTAAAAAACAAAATATTAAAAACAGCAAATGAAATACAATGCTTAAAATTCAAAAGCCGTAAAATAAACATTATACTCAGCCAAATATACTCTAGCTGGTCATACTATTCAGGATAATATGGTGAATAAGCAGTTGTCCTTTAAATTGGAAGTTAACCAAAAATAGCTTGGAAATTATTATTAAAAATCTAGAATTGAAAGGGAAATTTCAACTTGTATTGAGTTTTCAAGCTTATTGCTAACAATCACACAGAATCATATGCACTCTAGCCATTTTTCAATAGCAAATAATGTATGTGCTGTACATGTCACCGAATGTACATTTTAAATTCCTGATTATCCAAATGTGGTTTATCCATTTTTCAGATTAACTGTGCATTACTCCCTGAAAGTGTTCTTATGCTTATACTGGAAGAAGGGGAAAAAACCTTGTAATTTTCTGGGAAAACTCATGATTATTTTAGATACAATCTCATTACTAATTTTAGAGTACAGTTACAACTTACGTTCATTCATTGTCTGAAGGAAGAGAGAAATAATCTCTAATATCATAAAGAGAGTTCTGTCAATTAAAATGTAACATTATAATGCCTAATTAAAATTATTCCTAATGTTCAAAAAATTAAAATATAGAAGAAAATTATATAGACAGTCATTGAGAAAAGAGAAGAATAATGAAGCCTTATGGAATTTCATCCAATTTGACTGCATATTCATCATTATACAAAAACCACTATGCATGAAAAGGGTAATGGAGATGAAGGCATAAGAATGCAAATAGTTAATTCATTACAGGAAAACATGCAAGAGTTATCTGCTTTAAGAAACATTCTTTTATAGGAAACTTTTAAGAAAAACTAGGCTGTGACCCTGTTACACATAAAAGCAACCCTAAGCAATCAGCCTTCTTGTAGTTGCTTTTTGATCTTAAAGTCTGATCTCTGATATAATGAAAGGGGTAAAAAAAGGTTGGTGATCTTCTCCAACCAGCAGTGGCAGATATATGAAAGAGAACATAGGTGAGCCAATGATAGCTTCTAAAGTGTACAGATGAATGTTTAATACAATGTTTGGCTTGCTATCAAAAATAATGTCAACATGACTCTAATTAAAAGAAATGTAGCAGACTTTTCCAAATGAAAAACTGAAAAACCTTAGATCTTATTATTTTTAGCAAATTTTATTTTAAACAGTATGCTGCTTGTTGGTTCTTTAAAATCTCACAAGAGTCATTAAAGTTTCTACTCTATCTGAGCACTTATGAAAATCTTACTCAGTTAATTTTGAATTATTTATGTTTATTGGTTATCCATGGTCACCCACACATTAAATTAGCTTGAATAATTTTAAACATAATTTTATTTTATAAAATTATCAGTGTATTTAAACACATCTTTGGTATGGCAAATATATTAAACTTCAATAAAAGAGTACAGTTTTCATAGAAGTCTGTGCTTTTCAGAAGTATTCGCACAATGACTTAACAGTCACAATTGTCATATTCATAAGGTTTAAAAGTCATTAGCTTCATTCATACCTGTGATGCATGATCTTAATCAAAGCCAGTCAAAGAATGTTTTAGTATTCAACTAGCTTGCTTTCCTACAACTGACCACTTCTTATATCATAGTTAAAATGTAGAACATTTGCTTGGCAGGATGTTGAAAGACAGAACATTTAGACAAAATAAATATACCAATTTTCATATAGCATAGTCTTGTTGACAATCAATGAAGTTCTGCTTATTCCAGTTGTCACCATCATGCCAAAGTAGGTGGTTCTCCTCAAAGTAGGTGGTTCTCCTCAAAATAGGTGGTACATCTCCTACACATACGATCAAGTGATATTGAAGTGGGGGCACTATATAGCAACTGGCGAGCAGTTAAAAAAAGTAATGTTTGTATAGCAATATTCAAATCCTGATTTTGCCTATCTTTTCAGGAACAAATCACTCACAGCTGATATCTGCAGCCCTAATATAATACATTTTTTCATCTGCACATAATTACCTGATTTCCTTAGAAGCTGCTCCATGAACACTAAGCACAAAGGTTTAAATCAAAAGGTATCAATTCTGCCTGGATTTTGAACTCAACCTCACTGTTGCATAGAAGAGAAAGGATAGAACCTTTAATTCTTACATTAAAATATATTGTCAATGAAGCTATACATATCCTTAAAGTTTAAAATCTTTGCAATAGTTAGAAATATTAACATTTGTTGTCATAAGATTAGCCAACATGAAATTGGCATTGGGTCATCCAAAACATTTTGCAGTTTTTTTATGATAAATGAAAATGAATCGGGGGGGGGGGAAATCACACAAACATTGTTTAGTTCTAAGACATGTTTCTCAAAAGCTGGAAAAAAAAATTTTTTTTAACAGCCATTACATTTACTGATAGCAAAGTTATCAAGATGCTGTTTGACAGTCTACAAAGAAATTAACTCTACACCATTCAAAAAATCATGTAATGACCTGAAGAGAAGATAATCTGACAAAAAATCTTAACCATATTCAAGTTTTTGTTTGAAATTCCTCAAAATTTGGAGCAAAGTACTGTCATGATGGAAGACAACATCTTCAAGATTAGTCAGTTCTGAGTACTTTGTTTCAATTTCTGCTTCTAAAACTGCCATTTGGGCACAGTATTTTTCCAAATTTGTTGTCTTATTTGGAGGTAACAATTCTTAGCATACAATTCCTTTGTAGTCCCACTCAATGTTATTAATGGAGGTTCTTTTGGTTTACCCCATGATCTTTTCCCTAAAAACATTATTTTGTACTTCTTATTTCCAGTCATAAACTGCTATTTAAAAAAAAAAAAAAAAAAAAAAAAAAAAAAAAAACCACAGTCACCCTTCCCTCCCCTTAATTCTAGCAAAGAATCATGTGCCAAAATTTTTGCCATAGTCTCCTCTGTTAAGTATAGAAAACCCATACAATATACCAGCTTACATCCTCAACCACCTTTAACTATTTTAATACCATAATGTCCCAGAAAATCTTCACTCTTTTTTTGTGTGTTAATGGATGGGGAGGTGAGGAAATTACAATGACTCTCAAAAACCATTTCAGGTGGTTTGGTATTTTAACATACAGGTTAGCAAAGTCTTCAGTTTTCAAAGAGTTAAATGATCATGTACTGTACTTTTTTGAATATTTATTCTGTTGAATAGCTCCTGAACTTCTAATAACCCCCCTTTGTATTATTTAGTGGAATGCAAGTTCAGTGCAATAACATTGTACTAACTTCAAAAAAAAGGGGGGGAAGAAAAGAAATCAGCTAAAGATGACTGATCGCAAAAATTTGAGAACATACTTAAAATGGAGTTGGGTACTTACATACTAGCACAACCATCTTAGTGGAAGTCGTTACATTTTCAGAACTGCATGGTTCCATTTCTAAAGACCATGTGCACATTAATTTTTCAGGCAACCATGCTTACAACAATTCTTCATTCAAACAAGATCACAATTTTTTTACACATTCCTTTTACAATATTCCAAATTCTAACCCTTTTCGTAAACAAATTGCGATATTTATCTCCTTTAAACTCAATTTTAAAACATGACCTAATGGAATTTGTTAGCAATGGAAAAAACTGAATTAAAATTTCTGCAGGAATACAGCATTTTGCTGAAAAAGTGCTAAAGGGAAGTACTGCGTCTTCAAGTCCACCAAAAATTTCCACCAGAACAATAGAAATAAAAGCCAACTTGTAAATAGGTTAGTTGCCAATTTTCAGGATAAGATCTTGATTAAAATATAAAATATGCATGTATGTAATATATTTATGTATGTAATAAGTATATATTTACAATTAAAGTCAATGATGACATTAAAAATTGCTAAATTATGTTGAAGTGATTTTATTAATACCTATGTATCTGGAACTAAATGCAGAAAAATTTGTAGAACTTAATTAGGCTCATCATTTTCATTTAGATTATTTTGTTGCTAGTTTAGTATTCTCATTCTTTATGTAATTTCATTAATTCATTAAATATAAATGCATATTAACTGTTAATTTTATTAATACAGTACAAAGTCTGTAATCCGGACGTCCATTATCCAGAATGATCTATAATCCGAACCTCAAAGCCACAAACTTTTTTTTTGGTATGATTTACACATGTGCATTTAGTGTTTACGCATGTACATTTAGCACAAAAAAATGAAGCAACTTAAACAACTTACATTGAAAGAAATGTTTAATAAAGTAAACAAATAAATATTAAGCTTTTTTTCTTTTCTAAAATTTTGATACCCTTTAGATCATTATTGCTAATTAGATAATTTTAGCTTAGCTTATACCATACCATCTGTTATACACTAAACGCGCATTCATAAACATTTTTTGCGCACGCGGATATTTGCAGCCGTAAAGGTCTTATGTGCATGTGTCAACGTGACACATGGGCAGAAAGTTTGTAGCTTTGAGGTCCGGATTATAGATCATTCCGGATTATGGGTGTCCGAATTAACGACTTTTAACAAAAGCATTTATCAGGATGTATATCCATTATAATAAGCTAAGCAGAAGATATAACTGTATAATTCTGTCTTTATAAAAGTGAGCAGTAACATGGAACTAAATATGCAAAAAAGAACTATTACTCACCTCTAAAATTTTCATGAGTAGCTAAATATGAAAGAAAAAATGCAGTCTTTGCCCTCAACTTCTCATCAGGACCTTGAAGCATTCGCAATATTATGGGAAGAAAATTGGTGACTTCCAAATGTTTAATGGCATCATCATTGTGCCTACATAAGCCTATAATAATTTTTAATGTTAACATTAAAGAATGAAATTTGTAATTAAATATTACATTTTAATTACAATTATAAAAATTTAACATTATTAAAAACATAAAAAGTTTCATGTACCTATTTCTTGCATCAAAGAACTTAACTATTGATTCTTCAGTTTAAACATAAAATCTGTATTTACATTTAACCCTTTGAAAGCTTTGAAAGTATGCAAAAGAAAACTTACTATCTTTCTCTCTTATAAAATGAGAAAGCTCTTTCAATATTTAATATGTATGAACAGCAGTAAAAATCTACTCACATTTGCTTATAGAGAATTTCTTTTCCAAAAAGTTTAACTCGAATTGATTTTTTTTTTTAATCTGCTAATATTTTTTTAACAGAAAGAGAGCATATTTTCGATAATTAGCAATACTTACCAAATGATGTTAATTATCTAAAAATGAAAAAAAATTATAACACATTTATATTTTTAATATTTTATACTTCATAGCAAAATTTACTTTTATAGCTGTCTAACTATATTTACCAGAAAGGCTGGATTATTTCAACTCATAGAATGGACTTTCCCAGGGAAACTGAATTGTACATACATCATACAATGAGCAAACTATACTCTTCCCACATAGCTAGCCTATTCAGTTGCTTTTTAAACATACGACAAATTGCCAATGTTTTATGCATCACTATGGACACATTCATTTGAAGTAGCATATGCCTATGCTACCTCAAAAACTACTAGGTACTTTTAGTACTATAATTATATATATATATAAAAAATTGCCAACAATAAATAAACTTGTTCACTCTGCTTCTATAAAATTATTTGTTGCATAGGAGGACAAATGCTACAAATAATAGAATACTTTTCCTTAAAAACCATACCAAGCATTTACAGCACCATAATGGTGCATTTTGACTTTTCTTTTTGTTTTCTTCCCACAAACTTGGCTCAATACTAGATGAAACAAAATGATTGGAAACAGCAGCAACAAAACAGCAACTAATTTCATAACAAAATCCTCTAAAAATTCATTAAGTTTTTCATTTTTCCATAATTTTAGAGCATTCATCAGTTTTAATGTTAGAATGAAATAACAAGGAATTGGCACATATCTCTCGTACATAATTATTTCAAGCAAATACTGTTTTGTGATTCATTTGGAACAAGTTTCGTTCAGCAAAATAAAACTGATGGATATTCTTTTATCATCGAGACCGAATTCAGAAATGTATGCACATATGTATGGATATATGTGTTCATGTAATCATTTATATATGGAGGTACATATGGATGTGTATGTATACACACATACACATATAATACATAAAAACATGCACATATAATACATAAATACATGCATACATACATACATTTTTGAATCCGTTTCCGATAACTAAAAAGTACCAACTGTTGTTAGCACCTGATATCAAGTAAATGAACTGGCAATAATGACAGAAATTTGTAACCCAACAAACCACATTTCTTTCCAGACATCTTTTACTTCCCAGCAGAAATGAAAGTAGCACAATTATTTTGGCTTCAATGTGTCAGAATTTTTTGAATTTAATGAAGCACTGAGCAATGACATTTAGAGATGGTAATAATTTTAGGATTCAAGGAAGGCACTGAAGTATGTATGGTGCACATAGACAAATAAGATGAATCTTTTAATAAATTGTTGGTTTTCAGTTTCTTGGCTAGCTTCAATGCTTATGCTTAGCAGAAAGATAAAATCAAAGGAAGATAAATATGTTAGGAGAAAAACTTTTGGGGATCAAAAGGAGAAAATTCAAATTATTTTGTTTTCATATTTATTCCAAAAATCCTCCAAAAGATAAGAAATTCATCAAAAATTTCCTATAAAACACATCCATTACATATTTATACCATAAAGACATTTTTTATTTCATCAGAATTTTCTGGAATTGTAGGTCTATAAATCTTGCCTTCAAATCCTTCCTAGGTGTAAAGTAAACATCAGAAAGAAAAATTATCCTTATTAAATTAAATTAAAATTATTCCTATAAAAACAGCAAATTTCTGAAAAAAAGTGTAAACTTTTGCATAATAGCTTTACGCATGCACATAATACATTTACGCATGTGCATTTAATGTATAACGGACGGTATAAGCTAAGCTAAAATTATCTAATTATCTATTTCAGTTAATGTTGCAGATTGCGTTGTTCCTTAATCTTCTAATTGGATCCGGCTTATTATTTTTGCAGACTGTTAGAGCTATTTTATAAAAGTAAGCTTGAACTTTCGATTATGTCAAAAAAGAATTTCCGATTCTAGAGCTACCAAAGGATCTACAAAGCGAAAGCGATGGACATGTTCCGATGTCCATCAAACAAAAAGTGGAATTGCTGCAAAAAATGGATAAAGGCATATCCTTTGATTCTCTAATCATTCCGAAATATGTTTATCAATTTCACGCAGCACGCAATGAACTGGAAGTTGATCTGTCAGCACTTCTTTATTGTTTTTTTTTAAGACGTGTTTCAGAAACTGTGCTTCACAGCATTTATTATTTTCTTTATTTTTCAGCATCAAAATATTCGCAAGTCTTCAAAATGAAAAGTAATATCACTTCAAAATACGGCAGGAAAAAATAAAAATATTTTAATGTTATTTTTAATATATAATTTTAATATATTAGCATTATTTTTTATGATATTTATCAATGTTATTATGTTTGTAAAAACAATCATCAATAAAGATTTTGTATAATGGTCTTAAAATTGCCAAAATGTTGATAAGTCACCTTAATAAAAGAACTCGTTTCAAAGAGGGAAATGTTTAACGTAATATTTTATGATCTCTTTATGTACAAAAAAGAAATTATTTTAAAATTTTTATATTTGAGTCAGGGTATCATGACTAAAATTTGAGTGTCAACCGTTTATATTAAGAAAGAATTCAACATTAACCCATCAAATACATATCTGTCAATGCATTGCCAAAAAAAATATTCCTACAAAATGTTAACTCACATTCAAAACAGCAGTTTTAAAAAACAGAAATCTCAGATGAGAAAAAAATTAAGGTCCTTTTGTCTATTTTGCCCAAAATTAAGGACTTTTAAGGACCAAAAACTGTTTCAAGAAAACCTAAGGACTTAAGTACATTTAAAGACCATACAAACCCTGCCTATTCTTTAAATGTCAGTAAGAAAAGGGAAATGAATGGATACCAAACATTTTTCTAGTAGTATGATGAGTTGATTTTAATACTGTTTATTCTACTATACAGAAATCTGCAATAATCGAAAAACCTCATTCAAACTTTCATTGTATTTTCAGAACCAAGTTTGTGCACCTTTTTGCTCTTTGCTTTAGATAATAAACAAACCTTTTGTCACCTAAGCAGCAGTCGTTAAAGGTCTAAGGCTATTTTGGTAAAAGCTGAAGAACAAACTTGTCAGCCTTTGTTCACTACTTTTTCATAATTACATATGCATCTAAAGACTTCAATTGATTTCTACAACGAAAATTTCTTTTGCTCTTACTAAAGACTTTTGAACAATTTTACACTAAAATCATTTGAAACAATATGTACTTTTTTCAGGTAATCATTAGGAGAGTTCTTTCCATGGAGAAATAATGACTGATGATTTTCCCCTTTTCAGTTAAAATAGTTACTAATTTCACACTTCAAAATTACAATACCATGCACTTTAAAAGGTTCCTGAATTGCAGAATAGTTCCCTTTCTTGGAGTGGACAAAAGCAGTCTATAACTTGTTTACATATAACATTTTCAACATAATAAAATTTCAAGTAACACACAATATTTTTCATTTCAAACTACACACTGCTACAGAAATTTTTATTTAACAAAATTTACACTTTTAATCCTTTATTGGTATTCTAAAAATGCATTAAGACCTTAAGTATCTCTCATAAAAAGAGGTTTGTGGAAAATACTGTGAGAGAAATACTAGTTCATAACCATGTCACACTATCAGAAACTACTGCCAGTGGAATTAATATTCAGAGAGCTGCTTAGGTTGCTGCCCAAGCAGCTACCTGCATATTCATTCTACTCACAGGCATTCAATGGTATTAAACATTCAGTCACTGGTGGGCCCATACATATAAACTAATACAGTAAACTGCTGTTTTCATGAATCAGCATGCAAAAGAAAAAATAAAATGCTTACAAGACAATGCATATAAAGCCTTAGAGGTAACTGTTGAGTCTGGATGGCTATCCATCAATTTCACTAATTGAGGCATCACGTTGAAATCAAGGAGTTTAGACTGGCAATAAATATTATTCTGACACAAGTCTGCAATAAGTTCTGCAGAAGCAGCAACTACCTCAGCATCAGAACAAGCAAGAAGGGGTATAAGTTGATTGAATCCTCCAATTTTGAAGAAATCTATAAATATGTATAAAAATAATTTATTGGTAATAAATGCAGTTTCAGTACTTAATTTTGTACTGTTAAATAGGTAAAAATACAATGGCTTAATTATTAATGTAGAAACTACAATTCAAATTATATTCACAACCAAAACAAATACTTGATGGATTTGCTTTCAAGAAAAATAAGAGCATTTATGCATATAGTAAAAAATTTTAGAGACAGACAATCAGACTATTCAGTCCCTTCTTTTTACTTTGCTGGTACAAATTCTTCATACAGTTGCTGAGTTTCTATTTGCTATTTTAAGAAAATTACTGTATTTGAACGCATATAAGACACACCCTTATTTAGAAGGCCACACACAAGGAAAAAAAGTTTCAATAGTCGTGGGACAGTACGGTACCGCAATAATTTTTGTTCTTTAGCAGTCTTCAGTTGATCTTCCCGCAGTTGCCAAGTACAGACAAAAGTCGTTAATCCGGACTTGTCGGGACTTCGGCGAATCCGGATTATCGATTTTTCCAGATTATAGATCATCAGTTTAAATCTGGTAAGATGGCATGCAGAAATTATAAAATTAAAAATATGAAACCATAATTTATGAAATAAAAAACAATTATGATCTAAAGCGTATCAAAATTTACAAAAAAAAGCTTAATATTTATTTGTTTACTTTACTTTCTTTGCTATCGGAAGCGAATTATAATGATGAGGAATTTGATTTAAATCATACAAAGACGGAGTACATCAAAATGAAATACTACATTTAGTAAGGAATTATAAGCCAAATAAAATAAAAACATCTGCCCTGAAGATAAGGATAGTGCTGACAAATCAACTTCTTATTCATTGCACGCCGTGGCGTCTCCCCGCTGCAGAGCAGCGTGAAATTGATAAACAGATTTCGGAATGGTTAGATAAACAAAGAATATGCCTTTATCCATTTTTTGCAGCAATTCCACTTTTTGTTTAATGGACTTCGAAACATACTTTCGCTTTGTAGATCCTTTACATATTAGTAAATACAAATTGGAAATTCTATTTGACATAATCGAAAGTTCAAGCTTACTTTTATAAAATTGCTCAACAGTCTGCAAAAAATAATAAGCCGGATCCAATTCGAAGATTAAGAAACAACACAATCTGCAACATTAACTGAATTAGATAATTTTAGCTTAGCTTATACCGTCCGTTATACATTAAACGCACATGCATAAATGTATTTTGGGCATGCGCACACGCATATTTGCAGCCGTAAAGGTCTTACGTGCATGCATCAATGCGATGCATACGCAGAAAGTTTGCAGCTTTGAGGTACGGATTATAGATCATTCCGAATTATGGGTGTCCGAATTAACGACTCTTGACTGTACGTATCCTTTTTTTGGTAGGTATAGTGCACCGAAATGCCTTGCTGCTGCTCTGTTTCCATGCACTTTGGCATAATTTAACACTCCTAGATTATACTGAATTGTACAGTCAAAAGTCTTTAATCTGGACTCGTCGGGACTTCGGCGATTCCGGATTATCAGTTTTTCCGAATTATAGATCATCAGTTTAAATCTGGTAGGATGGCATGCAGAAATTATAAAATTAAAAATATGAAACTGTAATTTATGAAATAAAGAGCATTTATGATCTAAAGGGTATCAAAATTTACAAAAAAAGCTTAAGATTTATTTGTTTACTTTATTAAATATTTCTTTTAACGCGTGCTTGCATAAAGCATACGTTACGCATAGTCGAAATTAGAAAATTGCAACCAGAAAACTATTTGATGTGTATTTGTGATATTTATAATGACGAGGAATTTGATTTAAATCATATCAGAGTACATCGAGATGAAATACTACATTTAGTAAGGAATTATAAGCCAAATAAAATAAAAACATCTGCCCTGAAGATAAGGATTGTGCTGACAGATCAACTTCCAGTTCATTGCGCGCCACAAAGTCCCCCCCCCTCGGCAGAGCAGCATGAAATTGATAAACATATTTTGGAATGATTACAGAATGAAAGGATATGCCTTTATCCATTTTTTGTAGCAATTCCACTTTTTGTTTGATGGACATCGGAGCATGCTTTTGCTTTGTAGATTCTTTGGTAGCTCCAGAATCAGAAATTCTTTTTGACATGATCGAAAGTTCAAGCTTACTTTTATAAAATTGCTCTAACAGTCTGCAAAAAATAATAAGCCAGATCCAATTAGAAGATTAAGGAACAACGTAATCTGCAACATTAACTGAAATAGATAATTAGATAATTTTAGCTTAGCTTATACCATCCATTATACATTAAACGTGCATGCGTAAACGTATTATGCACATGCGTAAATGCATTAATGCATTTACGCATGCACAGAAAGTTTGTAGCTTTGAATTCCGGATTATAGATCATTATGGATGTCCGGATTAAAGACTTTTGACTGTATAGCTTAACCTCTTGTTTCCTGTAGTCATATTTTCCAGGGTATTTTTTTAAAACAAATAGTTTTAAGCACCGATACCGACACGTTTATACAGAGTAGCACCGATACTGACACATGTGTCGGCTGAGTCAAAGAAAGTCTATGTAAAGAAGGAAAGGCTCCATAGGCTTAATGTGACCATCGAATCTGTTCGAACTTCGACATCAGCTTCGAGCTTTGGCGCTTTTTGGTGACAGATATTTCATGCATGCGCAAAATAATTATGGCAGATGCAGAAAAAGTTATGTGTGTCTAGACCTTTATCCGAGCTAAAAATAGCATTCAGTATTGAAAGTTAACCTGTGTCCTTCATGTATAAGACGGAGGTAACTTTTCGAGACCAAATTTAAGAAAAAAAGTGCGTCTTATATGCCGTCAAATACGGTAATCTATTTTAGTTTTAGGAATGAATTATGAATAATACTTATTTACAGAAGATAGCTTAAGAATAGGAAAAATAGACTGATGTTTTTTATCATCAAAGAAATTCAAATTAATATTTAGAAGAAACAAGAAATAAAATTATAGGAAAATAACATTGTGATTAATATATACACCAGTAATTCCAACATTTTCAAAGTAACACCTCACATAACTGAGCATCTGTGATCTTGCAAAAAAGTAATTTGGATTACAAATTATTAACATCTTAGATATTACATAGCCACTTATCTATTTATCTATGCTTAGCCATTCCTCTGAGTCAAAATAATGTCTTATGATTGATAGATCAATACATAAGTTGTTCTACGGATACAGTTGTTTCAGTGCTTAACTTGACTATTTTCATAAAATATGGTCTTATGATTGATAGATCAACACATAAGTTGTTCTATGGATACAGTTGTTTGTTTCAGTGCTTAACTTGAGTATTTTCACAAAAGAAAATATAGTACAAAGTCTAAAATCCAGATGTATGCTATCCAGAATGATATAATATCTGGACCACACACGAAATTTTTTTTTTCTGGAGATTTATTTTCCATATGTAGTAATGAAGACTGTAATATTGAAAAAAAAGCAGTGGGTTATAAAAGTGATTTTACTTAAGACTCACAACGATTCTTGCATGTTCTTTTTAAACACCTGCTAGCTAGGGAATCATTCTATGGCCAGTGATAATTCCTTGAATGATGTTGTATTTGATATACGCCACGACCACACTTTCAGAGCTTGAACGGTTGTAAGGAGCTTGGCATTTTCCTATCTGATTGAAACAATAGGAGAAACTCTAAGATGCATTTATTTGAAGTGTAATATCACTCATAATGGTTTTCTTTTGTTGAAATAGCAGGAGGCAAGGGACATCCATCTTGAAATTATGCTTGGGATATGGCACTGGAATGTAAGCAGTATATGATACTTAAAATATATATATATATATATTTTAGAATTCTGGCATTTTACATAAATAAATAATTTTTTAAAAAATCATTTGTTACGCTAAAAGTGATGATCATGACAAAGTACTGACAGAATGGGTGAGTCAGCATGATAATGAGGCCATGTCCATGACAGGTCCAATGCTAATGGCTCAAGCAAAATATTTCAAGTGAAACTCAATGCAAATATTCAACAGATTGGTTAGCTAAATATAAAAATTGTCACAGTGCACGGCAGTCAAAATTTGATAAATTTAGTAGTTGACTGTATACCCTTTCCATCATTTTATATTATTCTTATATTTAATTTACAAATAATAATAATAAATCTACAAGCATTCATTAATATACATCTTACAATGAATATTAAAAACATTTAAAAATATTTCACTGCAAGTAAAAGCAAGTTCTACTACAGTATGAAAATTCGATATACTTTAGCCTAGATAATAGCATAATGCATTGAATTCTGAACATTGTTTGAAACTGAAACACATACAGAATTCACCAACATAAAAACTGCACTATTTTATTTTTTGGTCAAATAATTTATAAGTTGTATGCATACCATTTGCATTGTCAAGAGAAAGAATAATCTCATTTGCCACTGCAATTGCAGCTTTTAACCCTTCATATGTAGTTTCCGTTGCAGCTCCAGAATCTATGTCTTTCATGAAATTATCAATTTTAGTAAGCTCAGCTTTCATTTTTTCAATATCTGAAGGAGGTAGGATAGGTGCCTGCTGCGGCGGCTGAGGATCAACACAGCAAACTTGCATACTCATACTAAAAGAGAGAAATTAGAACATAAAAAAATATGCATTACATAAAATAAAATATATCTAAGTAACGTAAATGTTATTAACATATATAACATCTATAATTTTTAATGTAATGTTGTTCTTTATGTTAAGCTATAAAAACAAAGTCTTTGTTTTTAAAAAAAATCTTAAGCAATTAATCTTTTTATCTGTATCTAAGATATAATCTACTGCACATAATGGGTCCAACACTACAGATAAGAGAATCAATAATAAATCAAGCCTACATGATTATGTGGTTAAACACCTAGCACAGCATTAAGCTCACATTCAAATCTTGGAGTAGGCAAGGATGTTTGTACATGTATGGTGTCTTTGTCCCATGGAGGTTCTTAAAATGTTGTTGAGATGAAAGAGATTAATGGTGGGATATATTCCTCAGGTGGATTCTTTTTAAAATTGGAACAGAGATGGGCAAACTTGTATTATCAGCTATACAGTGTTCAAAGAATAAATAAAATAAAAAAAACACTTATATTTGCTAAAACAAAATGCATTTAATTGTTTATCAAACCATCTTATTCAGGTAGTTGATAATTTTAGGATACTCCTTGGATTATCAGAAAGTTGTTTCATTTATGGTAACCTGAGAATTTACTTATTTTAGTTTCTGCTTTCATAAACTTCCATTCATTAAGATGATATTTACATCATTAAAAAAGTAAGAAAGAAGGATATTTTAAATTATAACTAATATATACTAAGAGACAAAAAAAAAAAAAAAAAAAAAAATCTCGTGATCGTATAAAGGTAGTCGTATCACTCAGAGAACCCTCTGAGTACTAAAAAAGCAGAACCCTCTGAGTACTAAAATAACAATACTAAAAAAGCAGAAAGGCTTGAACTTAAGATAAATTTATTTTACAAATGCTAAACATTAGCGCTTAAGCCATTAGTTCATGGGCTCTGCAGTATTTTTTAACAATATCCTCATACAGAGAAAGTGCATTACAATTATTTAGATGTTCAAAAATCATAGGCTGATTGGAGTCGCACAAAATACGGAACACTTAGGATAGATAACAGCTCTTAAAACAAGATAAATAGAATAAATAACCTTAGAAGAAAAGCAGCCATAAAGCAAAATTTTCTTCAACATGGTTGTTCACAATCTCCTTTTGATAGAGTTACTCGAGGAAAGTAAAAGTTTTTGGAGGTACTGAGAAAAATTGCTTCTGAACTTCAAAACATGCTTTCTGAAAAGCTTCAGAATGCTGCAAGGTTAATGAGAAATTGCAACTGTCAACACCTTGGCTATAAAAATTATCATCAAGACTAAATAAAAGGGTTTCTGCCTCTATCTCTGATTCTACCTGAGTTATCCTCAAGATTCCAATGTCTCTCGAACTCGGAATTAAGAGGTCTCTAACATAATATGTGAAATAAACACTGATGAATTCAAGAAATGGCCACAAATGCAAAATTATATAAAATGTACACTGTGGGAAAAAAAAAATGGTACAGTTCTATATTTCCCGTTCTACATGGCCGATTGACAAAATTCAACTTGCATTTTTCATGTCTCGAAAGCACGACTTAGGATATGTATTAGATTATATATAGCATACACTGTCAGATTTGATGAGTGAAACCGTGAAATTTTCAAAGACTTATTAAATATGGTGTGAAAATTTAAAAGTGAAATTAAACAGAATAATAAAAAAAGAATGTTCCATAATATATTAATAACAATAACACTTTGACAAGAGACTTTGATAATTATGGTGTGTGAAATTTAAAAGTGAAATAAATCAAAGATAAAGTAAACAGTACAATCAAAAAAGAATGTTTCCATAAATATATTAATAATAATAATGATAAAATAGACATTTAAATATTCTATAATAATATTGCATTAGTGTAATTAATATAAATATCTGCATTTAAAATGATCTAACTTAGACCATATTTGCAATTTTTGTAATGTTATTAAATGTGGACTTTAAAATTTTTAGCAACATACATCAGTTGGGTTTGGTCTGTTTAAATTAGGGATAAGCATGGGAGAGATATCTGCCTAAGATAAAAGATGCCTTCAAGGAGGTCTTTCTGAAGGGAACTGGTTTAAATCCACATTACATATTGGGAATACCATGAAAACCATCATACAACTTTCCCTTTAGCTTGCTACCAAACTACCAGACTTCAGTCACTTTACTGTTTGGCTGCTGATCAGTTACAAAGCAGTGAACAAGAAATAATATTTTCCTTGGTTTTCTTGTTATGACTTACATGTAAGAAAACAATCTTAATAAAATTAATATGCCAAATTAAAGTGAATATGTTGGACTTTGTGCATACATGAACATATACATAAAACTAAAAATTTTCAGCAGAATATAATTTATTACTAAAAAACTTTTAGCAATCAATAGTGCAATTAAGTTTCATTAAACGAGAATATCTACTGATTTCATTTATGTGAGATAATGGATTTTCATCATAGTGTTATCAATCAAAAGTCGTTAATTCGGACACCCTAATCGAACCTCAAGCTACAAACTTTCTGGCGCTGCGTCCCGTCGACGCATGCGCGTAAGAATACGTTTACGAATGCGCGTTTTGTTAAGGACGAGATAAGCTAAACTAAAATTATCTAATTATCTATTTCAGTAATGTTGCAGATTGCGTTGTTCCTTAATCTTCGAATTGGATCCGGATTATTATTTTTTGCAGACTGTTTCAAGCAATTTTATAAAAGTAAGCTTGAACTTTCGATTATGACAAATAGAATTTCCGATATAATATTTACTAATATGTAAAGGATACAAAGCGAAAGTATCTTCGGAGTCTATTAACAAAAGTGGAATTGCTTGCAAAAAATGGATAAAGGCATATCCTTGTTTATCTAACTTTAACGTTTGTTTATCTAAACTTTGTTTATCTTTAACGCTGCGGGGGCGTGCAATGAATTGGAAGTTGATCTTCTCAGCACTATCCTTATCTTAAGGGCAATATTTTTATTTATTTGGCTTATAATTGCTTCCTCAATGTGTATTTCATCTCGATGTACTCCGTCTTTGATATGATTTAAATCAAATGCCTCATCATTATAATTCGCTTCCGATAGCGAAGAAAGTGACAGAAAGGTTATTGAAAATGAAAAAATTTTGATTGACAAGTCAGTCAGTAGTTCTCGGACATAGCAATTACAGGACTTGAACAATGGAACTTTGTAACTGAACAGGAAATTAAGTCTGTTTATAGAATTAAAGAGAATGTATTATCACATAAAAAACGAAGCAACTTAAACAACTTACATTGAAAGAAATGTTGGTTGATCTTTACATTATGGTAACTTGGCGATTTTTTGGCGACCAACTCTCCTACAGCAACCCTCTATTTTTTTTTCCTGCCGCCATTTTGTCTTCACAAAGTAAAGACATGTTTCTTTCCTTTTTATCTACTGAACACTTCTTCCAACAATCTACTACCGAATTACACTTATGCTAGAAATTTTATCTAACAAAACTGCTTAATCATGACAAATATTCACTGCAAAATTGGGAAAAAGTGCACAATACCATACTCCTTACACATTTTTCAAAATAACACATACACATAAACCATGTACACGTCGGCTTATTTTTACTTAAAAAAACATCCCAGAATAACACAAAAATAGCATTGCGCACACTCTTCACTATATCCATGTACACTGCTTTTTTCTCATAAATTAGAAAAAATTCACGAAAATACATGACAATTTTCTGAATCTTTAAAGTCGGTAAAAAGAACATATATGAAATTACCTGATCACGAAAAAGTATATACCCTTTCCAAATATGAACATTTGCACAGATAAAATAAATAAAATATCCAAAACTTTTACCTCTAAATCATCTATTATATATAACGCCACCAATGAATTCATACCGCAAGCATAACAAATACTTAGTGTCAAATTTTAAATTATTTCCATGCACATTTACTTCAACTAAAACGTATACCAAATTCCTACAAACAAAAATTCACAAAATAACTATCATTTAATTAAAATATCACTAAAACATGTACACGTCGATTTAATTTTACTTAAAAAAAAATCCCAGAATTGCACAAAAATGGCATTGCGCACACTCTTCACCATATCCATGTACACTCCTTTTTTCTCATAAATTAGAAAAATTTCACGAAAATGCATGACAATTTTCTGAATCTTTAAACCCGTTAAAAAGAACATAAAACCTAATAACAAAATAGTATATACCCTTTCCAAATATGAACATTTCCACGTATAAAATAAAAAATACCCAAAATTTTTACCTCTAATTATCTATTATATATAAACGTCACCAATGAATTCATACCGCAAACATTACAGTACTTAGTGTCCAAATATTTAAATTATTTCCATGCACGTTTACTTCAACTAAAACATATACCAAATTCCTACAAACATAAAATTACTTTACTTCCACCTTACATTTAGAACAATGCATAAAAATAATATCCTCAAATAATTAAAAATACTAACTTACCTAATCTTCTTCAGAATCTTGATTACGTGTCCGATAAACTTTTCTTATTTCATCCGCTAAATAAAAAGCAAGCGTATGTGCGCCTGTTTCAGGATCTTTAAAATCATACTTATAGTTCACAGGAAGGTACCAGGTAAAATAAATAACTTAATAAAACATCTTTACTTCTATCTCGCACAACCTTAAAGAAACACTTATTACTACCCCTTTCAATCCCACTAAATACCCATTTCGAATTCACTTTAGTTAGGGCCATGGGATCCAAAAATTAACGAACACCATTTCACACAACACAGAATAAGCCAAATACAAAATTTCCAGATTTTTTTTCCCCCGATTTCCCTCCTTTTCCGATTAAAGAACCGTAATTCGTCCATTAATATCACTTGACATATCCCATGATCTCTCATTTCCCTCACACAAAATAATGCGTAATCAGAACTGAGTACTTACTGCTCACATTATTACCAAAGTCCCAGGTAGTAACCTTTATCGCCTCCAAAATGTCGCCAAACTACCACTTACCATAGTCTAAAGATCAGCCGAAATGTTTAATAAAGTAAACAAATAAATATTAAGCTTTTTTTTGTAAATTTTGATACCCTTTACATCATAATTGTTCTTTATTTCGTAAATTACGGTTTCATATTTTTAATTTTATAATTAATGCATGCCATTTTACCAGATTTAAACTGATGATCTATAATCCGGAAAAATCGATAATCCGGAATCGCCGAAGTCCCGACGTGTCCGGATTAACGACTTTTGACTGCAGAAGTACACTACTGGCCACTCAAATGGCAACACCAAGAAAGACAAGAGATATCACAAAATTTATTTAGTAGATAACATGTTGACCAAGTATCAAATGATTAAATTTATAGACTTCTGTGAAGTGTGGTTCCTTCCAGAATCAGTAGCCAGAGTAGTCACCAATGTTGGAGATCACTGCTGCTACACACCTCGGCATTCAAAGAGACTTTGGATGTGTTCTTGGGGTACAGCAGACCAAGCAGCTTCCACACGTTGCCAAAGTTGATCTGGTGTGGCAGCTTGAGATGTAATCTGGGTCAATCGTTCAGCAACCATGGACCACATGTTTTCTATCAGCGAAAGATCCGGAGAGCAAGTCGGCCAGGAAAGCAATTCAATCTGGCAATTGATGAAGAACCCTTGGAGAATGCTTGCTACAAGTGGTCGCACATTATCCTGTTGAAACATGGCTGTGGGCAAGCCCTGAAGGTAAGAAAGGACAACTGGCTCTAACACCTCGGAGATGTAGCGCTGGCTGTTTAAAGCACCGGCAATGCATACTAGAGGAGTGCGAGAGTAATATCCGATACCGCCTCATACCATAATACCCGGTGCCGGACCAGTGTGGCTGTGCATAACGTAACTGTTCAACATGCTCTCTCCATGGTGTCTCCAGACTCAAATCGTCAAAACCACCGTGGTGTTGCAGACAGAAGCGCGACTCGTCAGTACAGACAATTTCATTCCATTCTGCTGTCCACATCCTTCTTTCATCACACCATTGGCGGCGGAGACGTCTGTGGTTCTGCATCAAGGGTAGACGAAGCAATGGACGCCTTACGGACAGACCACTCTGCTGTAAATGACATCGAATGGTACGCACAGACACTGGATGATGTGTCACAGACTGAATGTGCTGTGTTATGATTCGTGATGTGACCGAGCAATCCGTCACTGCCATGCGGACAATGTCTTGTCATCACGTGAAGTGGTGCACTGAGGTGGATGCAATCGAACACGTCGGTCTGTCGTACCCTCCTGAATCCAACGGTCACATATCCGCATTACAGTTGTTTGGTTTCATCCAACATGACTACCGATTTGCCTGAAAGATAATCCACGCTCTTGGTAGGCCACTATCCTTCCTCTGTCGAACTCCGATACTTGATCAAACGATGATCGCTGTTTCCTACGAGGTATAAAAGGTCATTTTTTGAAAAAAACCACAAGAAAAACACTATTGCCGAACTTGAAATCATCGAAAACTCCAAGCCTTAAATAGCGCTTTGAAGTGGCGCCACAGGCACGCCTGATGTGCGTCTGCGCTGAAATTCTAATCATTTGCATATCTCACCTCCACTAATGCATGTTGTAAATTTCATGTCATTTGCATGCTTCCTTCAAGGTGTTGCATTTACGGTGGCCAGCAGTGTATTTTAAAATTATGCAACGAAAATACTAATCATCAAATTGGCTTTTTAATTTTACACTTTCACAATTTCTTTAGAAATTGCACTGTAAAAAACAGGAATATTTTGTAATTTTATAATACTAATATTCAAAGACAGATCTGAATTTTACTATTTTTTTCCATTAAATAGATAATTTTGCCAAGAAAAAAGGTCATTATTACATGATTATTTTACTTCCGTTAGGCTTTATATATTGTTTTCTGTGCTAACTTTAATTCAACATAAATTTACTTTTGTATATCATGTTTAACCGGCAAATTTTGAATTTTCACTTCCATATGCTTAATATATTGTTTTCTCTGCTAACCTGAATTTATGTTACTTATTCTTTAATTATCTTGATTCTATGCACTAAATACCACGTTTACGTGGATTACTTCTATGTGTTTTAATATCTCATAACCATATGCCGATAATCTGAGTCGATCAATTTTCACTCATGTACACAATTTGTTCTTGCTTAAAAAAGAAATTAGAGAATTGCACATGCACACTAATAGGTAAAATTATCAGATTAAAATTATTATTTACCAGCGAAATCACATAGTCTGGCATGGCCTTTGTACTAACCTTTAGCCACAGGTTCAATTTATTACTAAACAATTTTTAATAATTATTTGCATTATGCATACAGAATAATTATATGTCAGAAAATATTTTTAAGTGAATCATAATGAGTGTACTTCAAGTTCCATCACATTTTTGGGGCTGAGGGTCTCTGAGGGATAAAATTCAATAACCTTATACATCAAAGCCAAAGGACAATAGAAAACTAATTATTTTCTTTTAACTTTGACAGTAAAACTATTTCATTAAATAAAAACTAACATTACTGAAAGACATTCACAGGCACCACTACCCCCACAACTAATAAGAAAATTTCGAAAATACTCATTAAAATAACACTTCGGTCAGTTTATATATTAATAAATATCAACCTTACCTGCCAGAAATACAATCAATATCCCCTCCATCATTAAACCAAGAGATTAATATATCAAAATTGTACTGATCTGTTGGCTCACGAATAGTTGAAATTTTTAAATTTTATAATTAAATGTATATTTTTCACAAAATTAAAAGGCAACGTATAATTAAAATCTATTAGAGTTATAAGGTTAGAGTAGGCTCCCTTGTAATATTGCAAAGTTGTTGTTTCATTTATTGCTAAGTCAAGGAAGTGCGCAATGCCGAATTTGTGCAATTCTCTGTTGTTTTTTTTTAAATAGGTCGACGTGTAGATGGATATATTAATAAAAATCAAGGGAGTGCACAATGCCTAGTTTGTGCAATTCTGCGATTTTTTTAAGTGAAAAATGGGTCAATGTGTACATGGATATCGAGTTTGTGCAATTCTTTGACTTGTTATTTTGTCTTTATGTACTTGGCGCTAGAATCGCCGCTACACAAAGCCAAAATAACAAGTCAAAGAATTGCACAAACTCACAATTCACAAACTCAGCATTCACTTTTTGCCAAGGGGTGCCCGTAAATATACTTTTACCAAGTTATAATTTTGGAGTTCAAGAGAAATAATTCATTAGCAATTCTGCGCATCATGTCCTATTAAACACTCAGAGGACCAAAACTACTATAACGTTTACCACTTGAAATAATTCCAGAGTGACCTAAAATTCGTCAAAGGATCAAATAAGGACAATGAAATGACGAATTATATTACAGTATACAAAAGATAATATAATTTTATCAAAAATTTTTAGTTCAGCTCTTAATCGGCAAATACTGTACTGCGAGTTTGAATATCCGTTTCCGATCACAAACATTACATTTGTATTTTAAAATTCGTACCCACGAAACTAAAAGAAATTATATGCAGCTATAAACTTCTTTATAAAAATGAATAGAATAAACACTAACATGAAATACACGTTGAACTTCTAGAAATTTATTTTACTCCGAAAGTACTCGATTGTTTTTTGGTGCACCTTACTACTATGTCTTGAGGCAGACATAAAGACAGAGGTAAACAGACATATTATTTTGCACCTTGTAATTTTTTCTGCTCGCAGAGCGAAAAGTTAAGGTGAATATTCGAATATTTATCCTCACAAAGAATCCAAAGAGTTACAGAGAAAATTACGCCATATGATCAAGAAAAGCCTGTCAAGATGCTTGCGTGTGGGCACAACAAAAAGGTACATGAAAATCCTGGCGCATATACTATATCCGAAGTAAACGACAATAACACAAGTGAAGGCTTAAAAATTTTTTTTTAATATTATGTATCCACCGATAACTCTTAAAATTGAAGGATTAATATATCTAAATGCTGAAAACAACAAAAAGTACACTTATAAGTTAAAAAAATTGAGTTTCACATTTGCGCATTTCCCTAATTTTAAACTTGTTTGCACTGCAGACTTAATTCAGTTTCAATTTATATTGACCCCCCTCTTTTTTGGTGAATGAATGTTTTCAGCTTTTCCATATTATATATTTAAAGATATAAACATCTCTTCCAATATTTCAAAAACAATAATTTAATTTTAAATATCATGACATGTTACAATGTACCTCAGGAGTATTTCAGAACAGGAAAGTACAACGGGTTTGTTTAATATAGTCTTCAAGCATAAAGATTTACGTCTTTAGCTCAAAAAAGTAACAGCTTACAATTAACTAATACATAGTGGCAATTGTTCACGTTACGTGGCGTTGTGTCCTTGTTTTTATACACATTGATGACTGTAACGTGTTCTCGAGTTACTAACTATGGTGCTGTATAATGAATTCAGATTTTTCCTCATGATAGTTTTTCTTTTAATGATATATGTATCACAGACATCTGCTTTATATTTTCATATTTCTGAAACCGAAAGAAAATGCTTTATTGAGGAAATTCCAGATGAAACACTCGTCGTAGGTGAGATGACCGGTTTCTTTTCACTTTAAAATCGTCTGCTGGTGTTGAATCAGTTTCTCTTCAATATTTGAGTTTGTTCTTTGTAATATTGCTGTGTTTATACTTGTTTAATTCAGGCAAATTACTTTTATCATACGGTGAAGTAAACTAAATTTAGTTTCCAAAAATCACTATAGTATTTGTTATTACAGTGAGCCTTATAGTATTTGTTATTACTGCAAGCCTTTCGTTATCAAGTCATTTTATTATTCCATCTTAATGCTCCATAGTACATTTAAATTTCGCTGTTCTTGCATACAGATATGATATATGTATCAGAATGCATTTCAAATGTCACTCTCAGGCAAGGGCTTCTCCCATATCTTCTACATTTGCAATTAATTAAAAAAATTTTCACTTATTCAAATAATTAAAAAAAGTTTGATCTTAGTTCGAAATTTAAAAAATTGCATGTTTGGTTATAATTTAACGTAATTAATTATTATACTTTGAGTATAAATGTAGGAGTAAGATTGTTTCAAAGGAATAAATAGTAAAGTTAAATTAATTTTAAATAAATAAGTAAGATAAGATAATGTGCATGTAGGATTTTAGAAAAATGGTTACTTTTTAGGCAAATACTTCAGCTTGCTAAAGGTAGTACAACAAAATATTTTAGCAATTTTAAATATTTATAATTATATCCATCATTTCCATAGTCGTGAATTTTTCACACTTTGTAATGTTTTCTCCTTCTAGCTAACTGAGATTTTCAAATATATTGAGTACGGTTTTTAATATACTTATTATCTGCACCCCCCCACACCCACACAAAATGTGACCTCTAGTTGGCAACTTTGTAAATTGGCATAAAATTTTTTTTTAACTAGCATTATGGCAGTGCTCGATTCATAAGCAGTAATAAAAAGAAACATAAAAAACTTTATAAGAAGAATAAAAAAATCATTACTAAGCACCTTGGTATATTTTGATGATGTTTTACAGGTAAAAATTAAGTGTTGGGTCCAAGTTAATAGTTTTCGAGACTTTCTTAAAAAGATTCCCGAACTATGGCTATTTATTGTAAGCTGGCAAATATTATCAAGATAGGAAAAGAAAACATACTTTAGGAATTTAAAATACAAAGGTTGATCTTTGGATTATGGTAACTTAGCGAAAATTTGGCGACCAACTCTGCTACGGCAACCCTCTATTTTTTTTTTCGCCGCCATTTTGTCTTCACGAAGTAAAGACATGTTTCTTTTCTTTTTATTTACTGAACACTTTTCCAAGAATCTACTAGCCGAATTACACTTATGCTAGAAATTTTATGTAACAAAACTGCTTAATCATGACAAATATTAACTGCAAAATTGGGAAAAAAAAGTGCACAATCGCAAACTCCTTGCACGTTTTTCAGAATAGCACATACATAACCATTTACACGTCGACTTATTTTACTTAAAAAAAATCCCAGAATTGCACAAAAATGGCATTGCACACACTCTTAACTTTATCCATCTACACTGCTATTTTCTCATAAATTACAAAAATTTGCACGAAAATGCAAAAAAATCTGTGAATCTTTAAACTCGGTAAAAAGCACATATATGAAATTACCTGATCACGAAAAAGTATATACCCTTTCCAAGGATGAACGTTTACATGTATAAAATAAATAAAATATCCAAAAACTTTTACCTCTAAATTATCTATTATATTATAAAAGTCACCAACGAATTCATACCGCAAACATTACAAATGGTTACAAATACTTAGTGTCAAATATTTAAATTATTTCCATGCACGTTTACTTCAACTAAAACGTATACCAAATTCCTACAAACATAAAATTCACAAAATAACTATCATTTAATTAAAATATCACTAAACCGTGTACACGTCGACTTAATTTTACTTAAAAAAAAAATCCCAGAATAGCACAAAAATGGCATTGCGCACACTCTTCACCATATCCATGTACACTCCTTTTTTCTCATAAATTAGAAAAATTTCACGAAAATGCATGAAAATTTTGTGAATCTTTAAATCCGGTAAAAAGAACATATATGAAACTACCTGATCGCAAAAAGTATATACCCTTTCCAAAAATGAACATTTCCACGTATAAAATAAATAAAATATCCAAAAACTTTTACCTCTAAATTATCTATTATATTATAAACGTCACCAATGAATTCATACCGCAAACATTAAAAATGGTTACAAATACTTAGTGTCAAATATTTAAATTACTTCCATGCACATTTACTTCAACTGAAATGTATACCAAACATAAAATTCACAAAATAACTATCATTTAATTAAAATATCACTAAGCCATGTACACGTCGACATATTTTTACTTAAAAAAACATCCCAGAATTGCACAAAAATGGCATTGCGCACACTCTTCACTATATCCATGTACACTGCTTTTTTCAAAAACTTCACGAAAATGCATGAAAATACTTAACGCATTCTACTCAAACGTATTCCAAAATACTACAAACATATAACTCACAAAATCACAAACATTAAATTAAAATATAATTAAATTAAAAAACACTACTTAAAATATAAATAAGCACATACATTAAATTAATAAAATTAGATTACAATCCTAATTACTTTAAACTAAATCATTGCTAATAACAATTTTCCAATAATACCATATTAATTTTATTTACTCCTTACATTTAGAACAATGCATAAAAATAATATCCTCAAATGATTAAAAATACTAACTTACCTAATCTTCAGAATCTTCATTACGTGGCATGCACACTTCCACTATTTCACACGACACACAATGAAGCTTAATACAAAATAATATAGTACTACAGTTTTCCAAATCCCCCCCCTTTTTCCGATTAAAGAACTGTAATTCGTCCATTAATGTCACATGACATATCTCATGATCTCTCATTTCCCTCACACAAAATAATGCGTAATCGGAACTGAGTACTTCTCACATTATTACCAAAGTCAGGATCTTTAAAATCATACTTATAGTTCACAGGAAGGTACCAGGTAAAATAAATAACTTAATAAAACATCTTTACTTCTATCTCGCACAACCTTAAAGAAACACTTATTACTACCCCTTTCAATCCCACTAAATACCCATTTCGAATTCACTTTAGTTAGGGCCATGGGATCCAAAAATTAACGAACACCATTTCACACAACACAGAATAAAGCCAAATACAAAATTTCCAGATTTTTTCCCGATTTCCCTCCTTTTCCGATTAAAGAACCGTAATTCGTCCATTAATATCACTTGACATATCCCATGATCTCTCATTTCCCTCACACAAAATAATGCGTAATCAGAACTGAGTACTTACTGCTCACATTATTACCAAAGTCCCAGGTAGTAACCTTTATCGCCTCCAAAATGTCGCCAAACTACCACTTACCATATTCTAAAGATCAGCCGATACAAATTTTAATTATTAGATTTTAAAATATGAATTACTCATATTTTTCTCCAAATCTTTCTGTATTTTTTGTGCTATTCTTCTCAAGTATACAGTAATTCATTTACACTTAAAAAAAAAATCGGAGAATTGCAGAGATAGGGCATTGTGCCAACTTCGGTAACATTTGCTATTTACCAAATACATCTCTTCGTTGTTCACTTTTAAAGATTTTGCATCAAAGTTTTAACTCAGTTTCTTTTATCGCTGGGAAATTCCACAAGCACATATTTAAAAATATCTTGTTTATAAAAACCATTGGAATACATTAAAAAAGAATGCATACGAAAATGACGATGTGACTTGACTGAAGGATTGTTATGATCATGGTTGCCAGAAGAATCGTTATGTGCATGATTGCAAGAGTTTGACACATTCTGAAAATTTAGTGACTTCTGCTAAAGTGGTTGCGATAATATGTAAGTCATTTACATGGCCAGTATTTACATCTGTACAGCTGGTAGATACTAATTGAAATTCAAAGTGGTACATTCACAGTCCACGTGTATTCAAACACATGTGGGGTACATCTATGCATGAGTAAGTGACGTGTAATATAGTAGACTTCTAGGTTACTAGAGTAATGGTGGGGATAAAATTTCGAGTTTCCCCAAATTTACTTTTCTAACAGCAGGTGTAAAAACCATATTGTAATTTATAGTAAAAAATATTAACAATTTACTTGAATTTTTAAGCAGTTTAATATGGAGAATAAATTCATTTGGTAATGTAAATTAAATCAGCATTTAAAACAAACACATGTTAAAACAAAGTTTTTTTTTTTTTTTTTTTTTTTTAAATGATATTTCTATATTTTAACAGGAGTCAGTGAGAAACAACAGAAAATTAATAGCTGCAGAATAATAGAAAATCAATAACTTATTTGAGTAGAGTAGACTTTAAGGTACCCCTTGTATTATGGTGAAGTTGTTGTTTGATTTATCGCCAAATTGTTGTTTCATTTATGCTGGCCTAAGTAGTTGAATGTTATGGAAACCCTATTGTGGTGTAATCGGGTGCATGATTCTGGGAAATTTTGAATCATGGGATGTTTTGTAAGCGTTCTGTGGGGTCTGTTGGTTTGATTCTTTAGACAATAGAATGGCCGAATGTAGTAAGATTAATTTGAAGTTTCTGTACGACTTGGAGCGAAAGGGGAAAAGAGCTTAACTGACTGGTGTGTAAATGAAGGTTTACTTAGTAGCCATTATAAGTGTCCTGTATGTAGGAAGGATATGCGTCTAGTCGAACGTAAAAACCGTTTAGATGGATTTGAATGGGTTTGTAGGAAGAAAGATTCAGATGGTCACTATGTGAAGCATTCGATCAGGAAGAGTACCTGGTTTGGAAAAAAGTCATTTGAATATGATTGATATTTTGATTTTCACATGGCTTTGGGTGTACGAAGCGAACTCGAAAATCATGGTAAGTGAATATTTGCTTTTGGTAGTGCTTAAATGTGTAACATGTTTTTCCTTTTTTATGTTATTTTATTGTTTGGTTTAAAATGTATTTTACAGAAATTATATATTTTTTGTTTGCCTATATTGTAGAATTTGGTGCTCCTTTGACTTTTTAAGTGAAAATGTATCGATATGTATATGGACAAAGTAAAGGGAGAGCTCAATGCAAGTTTGTGCAATTCGGGGATTTTTTTTTAAGTGAAAATAGGTCGATATGTAAGTCAGAATGAATAAAATTAAAAGAGTGCGCAATGCCATTTTTGTCCAATTTGGGGATTTTTTTAAAGTGAAAATAGGTCGACGTGTACATGGATAAAGCCAGAGGAGTGCGCAATGCCATTTTTGTGTGGTTCGGGAATTTTTTTTTAAGTGAAAATAAGTCGATGTGTACATGGATACCGAGTTTGTGCAATTGTTTGTCTTGTTATTTTGGCTTTGCAAGCCGAGTCAAAGAATTGCACAAAATCTGTATCCATGTACCGCCAAAAATCACCAAGTTTCGCCAAGGGGTACCCTAAACTATACTTTTACCACTTATTTTTATCATTTAGAAATTTAATTCTAGCTGGTTATTTAATGTTATTTATATAGTCCAGCTAATATGCAATTAAATTACGAGGGCTATCCAGAAAGTAGATTACGTTTTGGAATAAAAAAATAAACAAAGTATAGGAAACAAATTTTATTATATACAGATGAAAGCCACACTCAAATACTACTTTTCTACATAGTCACCATACAAAGTAAGGCATTTATCGTAGCGATGTACGAGCTTGGAAATTCCTTCGTCGAAAAATTCGGCCGCCTACGCCTTCAACCACTTCGTTACCTCTTCTTGCCTTCCATCTTGCACAAAACTTGTGGTAACCAAGCTTTTCGCTGATGATTTCGTGCAACAAACTTCGCGAAATTTGTGGAAAACTCAAAGAAAGTTCCGTTATTGAAATTTCGATTTTCACGGACTTTAGCATCGACTTTTTCGAGAGTTCGGCGTTCGAAGTGCTGGGTCTCCCACTTCGATCTTCGTGGGGAATCTGGGTCTCCCCATTTGATCGTCGTGAAACCATTGGTTCGACATTATGCCCACTGACGCACCATCACCCCATTCAGTGATACTGCCATACACTTCCGAAGCTGAGATTTTTCTATCGGTTTACAGTTTTTTGCAGTCAGAAACCTTATTACTGAGCGCACCTCGCAGCTCGCGGGATTTTCAATTAACGCAGACATTTCAAACCGTCACAGTATCTGAACGGAGCACAGCACGAACCTCTCACTAGCACGGCTAGATGCAGACTGAGCTGCGCAACGCTCTGACCCCAAGATGGCCGCGCTAGCCCCGCCCCTAGCGGACACAGACGGAAACGTAATCTACTTCCTGGATGGCCCTCGTACATACTCTTTCAGACAAAAACAATTCCTAATTATTGTGACATGATCTGCTATTATTGCTGCTTTTCCAAGCATTTTCTTCTCCTTTTTGTATTTCCTTAAAAGTTTTGCTTTATTGTGATAATTTTTGATCATTCTGCAATAAATGAGCATAACTTTTAATCAGGAATTAACTGTTCTTAAAAATATACACAAAATATGGCAGTTCTGCTGACTATTGAAACCAGAGGTGCAGATAATCGGACAAATACTGTTTTTTCCCTTCTGTTGACATGCACAATGTACATTAATATGGGGAAAATGAATAATTACATTTTATTAAATGTTATAATCATTTGAAATATAATTTGATTCAAAAACAAACATGAAAATGTAGAATTTAAAATTAAATAAAAAACAGTCTTATATTGATGTAAGTTTTGAATAAAATGACATCAGTTTTAAAGCCATCAGGCATGTGCTTCATCACTTCTTGAGCAGCAAAAGACTTTTGCAAAGGTGGGTAAATAATCATATTTAATTTCACTATAAATATGGTTGGTGCACCTCACATTCTATAGAACGGGGTTTCTTAAACTTTTTTCAGTTGTGACCCCTTTTTATCAGTGAAATTTTTTTCACAACCACAGGACTCCATAATTTTTGCAAAAATTTTGTGGGACCCCATAAGTATTAAGCAAATCCGGCACACGTGTAAGTGAAACTGTTAATTTTTTTCACTTGTACTGTAATATACAATTGCAGATTTAGCTCATTAACTTTAATTTCTAATTTGAAGACATAGAACAATGTGAACATTTTAAATAAGTAACAGATGAAATAACAGCGTCACTCGCAAAGCAAGGAAAATTAAACTATGAAAAAAATGCGTCAGAACTTTTTTTTTTCTTTGTCTGTATTGTCTTATCTTTATCTATTTTCAGATATACTGTGTATTTTTCTTTGTCTGTATTGTCTTATCTTTATCTATTTTCAGATATACTGTGTAAAAATATTTGGTAATTGTAAAATTATTATAATAAGTTAAAGAAATATCAAAGCTCCTAAAATTTTTGCCGACCCCCTGCTGCAAGTGCCGCGACCCACAGTTTAAGAAACCCTGCTATAGAAAATATGTTGAATCAAACTAGATAGTGATGTTATTTAAGCATTTTAAAATTATCTTTTATTCACAGGAAATTACAAATGTGAATTGCATGATCCCAAAACAGGAGGATTTATGCCATCTAGTCCTGGGATTGGAATGCATGTTGAAATTAGAGACCCAGATGAAAAGCTAATCCTTTCTAAAGTTTATAGTTCTGAAGGCAAATTTTCTTTCACTTCTAGTATACCTGGAGAACATGTTATATGCCTTTATTCAAACACAACAAAGTGGTTTAGTGGTAGCCAGTTGGTAAGAAAATTTTACTGCATAATTTTATTTTTATATGTACAGTGGTGCCTCACACAACGAACTTAATTCGTTCCAGGAGCAAGTTTGTTATGCGAAAAGTTCGTTATATGAAACGCATTTTCCCATAACAATACATGTTAAAAAAAAATAATTCATTCTGTAGCATAAAATATGCTAAGATGACATAAAAAAAGATAAATTTTTTGTTATTATTTTTATTTAGATACATCTAAAAACATAATTAAAAAAAAAAAAAAAAAAAAACACATTTTTTTAATTTTAAGACAGACTAAGTAGAGTCTACCGAATCTTGCACATCTTCATCCATTTTCTGCTTTTTGGACGATGGTTTCTGAAAAACCTGTCCAAAGAGTTTTTCTCTTTTCTCCAACATCTGCCAAAATAACGGACAAGAGTATCGGAGTAAAGATCGTTGATCCTGTTTGCTTCAGCTGAATCTGGATAGTGGGCATTGGTAAACTCCTGAACTGCTTTCCATTAGACCAGGATGTTCTTGATGTCAGCAGTTGGGATTGTTTGACTGTTGCTCCTCGTTATCAGATGACTCTTCCCTTTGAGCATTGTTCTGTTGCTGGACCAGAAGTGCTTCGAGCTTGTCAGTTGTCAGCTCTTCTTTGTGTTCCTCAATAAGCTCCTCTACCTCTAATTCCAACCTTTGGGCCACTGTGATGATGTCCTTCACTACTTCTGTGTCATTAACTACTGCTTCTTCCTGGGTCCACGAAGGCACAAGCATCTTCCAAGCAGAAATGAGGGTCCTTTGTGACACTTCTTCCCAGGCCTTCTGTATAAGTTGTATTGCCATAAGGACATCAAATTTCTCCTTCCAAAACTTTCGGACAGTCATATTGTTTCCACCAAACTCGCATTCTTCAAACACCTTATTAAAGAGGGCTCTAATGTAGAGTTTTTTTAAAGTTCGCAATAACTTGCTGATCCATTGGCTGAAGAATGGATGTGGTGTTTGGTGGCAAATACTGCACCTTGATAAAAGGATAATTTTCCTGCAATATTTCCTCTAGGTCTTTTGAGTGAGAAGGGGCATTGTCAAGTATCAGAAGGGCTTTGAGCGGCAAAGGTTTCCAGAATCCATTCGTTGAAGACAACTTGGGTCACCCAGGCTTTTTGATTGGACTTCCAATGGACGGGCAGTTTGGACTTAATAATGTTATTTTTCTTGAAAATTCTTGGATTTTCAGAGTGATAAACCAATAGAGGTTTGATCTTGAGGTCTCCGCTGGCATTAGACGAAAACATAAGGGTAAGTCTGTCCTTTCATGGCTTTGTGTCCTGGCAATTTCTTCTCCTCTTTTGTAATGAAGGTTCTGCTTGGCATTCTTTTCCAGAAAAGACCTGTTTCATCGGCATTGAACACTTGTTGTGGGCAGTATCCTTCATCCCTAATGCATTTTTGAAAGTTAATAGAGAACTTTTCTGCTTCTTTCTTGTCAGCACTGCCAGCCTCACCATGCATAGTAACGCTGTGAATTCCACACCTTTTCTTAAATCTAAAAAACCACCCCCTGCTGGCTTTGAATTCTTCTTCATTATCTTGATTGCTGCTACTTCCAGGGACGTTTTTCTTTAAATCGTCATAAATTCTCTTGGCTTTGTGACAGAAAATATCTTGGGTTGTTACGTCACCTTTCACCTGCCTGTCCTTAATTTAAATCGCTAATAGTCTCTCCATTTCCTCGTGGATTGAAGACCTATGTTTTTCATGAAATAGTTTTGATACTCCTTTGGCTACTTTGGCTGATTTGATTGCATCCTTGTTTGTCAAAATGGTGGTCTTGCTGAGGCCAAACTCTTTGACGAGGTCACACTGTTTTACTCCACATTCACTCCTTCTAATTATTTCCTGTTTCATTTCAACAGAAATCACCTTCCTGCTTGTTTTAGAAGCCATGATATAAAAAAATATTGATTTTAACTTAAAAGGATGATATTGAGTTTAACTTAAAAGGAGGTATTGCCGCGATACGGGCTTAAGTTAAGCACAATAACTAACGACTGCCTGCGCGGAAGGATGCAATACATCGGCAGCGATCGTGGAAGCTCGGGCGACTTCGTTGTGTGAAACGAAGTTCACTGTATGAATCATGAAATGAAGTTCGTTGTGTGCAGCGTTCTTTGTGCGAGGCACCACTGTAATTTAAATGAGCTTCCATTTTTTTAGCTATCTTAATTAAATCAAATGCCAAGAGAATGAGTGACTTAAAATTTCGCAAAGTTATATCCATAACTATAAATATGCATAAGTTAAATACAAGTTTCCAGATAAATATGTTGTTAAATTCTTGTGAAATAATCCATAAATCTGTTGTTTGGTTAATGGGGCATCAATTTTAAAAAGTAGCATTTTTCTTTTTTTTCCAGATAAAAGCAGTAGTTTTGTTTATGTGATTTAGTATTGCAAAATGGCAAAATAACAGTGCAGTGCTCTTTGCCACTGTCTAGATTTCTGCTTGCTTAAGATAATATTTTGTTGATTATATGAGAAGACATAAATGTTTTCAACAGTATTAAATTAGCAGCTTTGCATTCTTGTAAACAGATTATTGTGGTAAAATTATTTTATATTTTTTATTTTTTGAAAGGGGGGAATTTAATTAAATGCTTGTTTTTTTCCCTCCCTCATGAATCTGAACAAGCTGTTAGGATTACCTTTTCTATCTCTTATTAAATTTCATAGCAGGATTTATATTTGGCACAAAATGGAACCCTTTTAACCTAGCAGTTCCAGTTTTTATTGTCTGACTACCTCATTTTGATTGAAAACATGCCATGAGAATGAATTTGATGGTTCTTGTAACCCTGGTCTCCTCAGTAATGGTCTCATTAAAGAGTTTTGAATCCACTGAATATTAAGTAAGTTCACAAATTGCTACACCCATTGTTTATCTGAATTCTTCTCACTTCACGTGACTATCAGCTGACTGTGCTTCCTTCAGCAACATGCCTTCAAGCAGTTGCTATTCATGCTAACATAAAAGAATTAGTTTTTGTTAGTTCTATATATCTGACTCTGAATGAAGCCGTCAATAAGAGAGCAGCTGTCAGAACCCTTTAATATTATTGACAATTTTAAATGAACATAATCTGCTGTGGGGAAGTAGAAATACAAATCCTTGAGATGGACAAATTGAGCAAATGATTGGTCTCCTCAATAATGGACAGGATATCTACTTCCATTGAGCCTATGAAATCATTTCGTACTATTGATCTTGCCATCTGTACACTACCTCTGTTGCCCTTTTAAACACTGTGCCAAAAAAAAAGGGGGGAGACAGTTCTATATCTCTCGTTCTACTGAGCCAATTGATGAAATTCAGCTTGCGTTTTCCATGTCTCGAAAGCACAACATAGGATATGTATTACATTTGTGCATAGCATTCTTCGGTACTTTTCCGTTTTACTGATAAAGTCGCCAATAACGGTACAACTGATCACAAACGGAATATCCTCGCTGGTAACCTTTTACGCCTCATTTTCAAAACAAGTCGCAGCCCAGGCCTAAAAGTTTTCTGCATTTTCGCGGAATTACGTTTTTTTGAACATCACCCGGGCTGTTTCTGAGATCGATGCAGAATCGTTGAGAAATCACGACCGGCATATGTGGGGAGGGGGGAATAAATGGAAAACATGCTCTCTCTCTTCCTCTTTTCTTTGTAAAAAAACTTGACATCATGCCATCGTATAATATTACGCCGGGTTAGCGATCAAACGCGGGCACCCCTTGTTGCGAACTTTTCGAGTTTGCCCGAGCCAAGATCGCGAAATACGTTGTTTCACATCAAGGCAAAGTAGGTGAGGCTTATGTGGAAAGGCGGAACTAGATGCGTATGAATATCGAATCAAAGAAGAGCAAGCAACCGTCAAACGAGAGCTGACTTTAATAATTTCAGCAATCGGTGCTGGCGCCATCTGTCGGACATACGGATAACCACTTGCATTCTCCAGTACACAAAACTCTATGTAAAAATTTAAGGAATGTTCATAAACTGTACAAAGAAGAGCTAGAGATAGAAAAGGAGAAGCGAGAATCTTAAAAAAAAAAGCAATTAAACATTTCAGAAAATAAAAAAGTATCAATGGATTGTATAAAAGCTGCTGAAAAGAAATTGAGACTAGCTCGCAAACGGAAATTAGAAAAGTTGGTTGCAAAAGTAGCAAAAAAGAAAAAGCTTTTTCCCTAAAAATTTTTAATCAGGATCGAGTGAGACTGAGATAAAATAGTTATTTTTTTGTATTCCTCCTTTAACTATATGTTATTTTGTAACTATATTATCTCACATGACTACTTTTTCTGGTGTTATATAAAGTACTGTTTATTGAGCTAAAAGTGAAGATATGTGAAAGCTATAGTAACAGTTATATATATATATATATTTATATATTTATCTCTAAAACTTGTCAGTGCCTGAAAATGGGCAGTAATATATAACATAAATATGTATATTAGTGTGTTGTAATGTTGTGTACAGTATTCATGTATCAACTGTTAAATTAAGTTACATAAAGAGCATACATACAGAAACTCGACATTGCACACTGACTTGACTTTGTCCATGCATACATCTATCTACTTTTACTTAAAAATTGAAGGAGCACCCAATTCTACACTAGAGCCAAACAAAAAATATATAACCTCAATAAACTGCATTTTAAATCAAACAATGAAAAAGCACTACACACTACTATCACATCTATGCACTACACAAAGGAAATATCCACTTACCTTATTTAGAAATTTCTGTGTCTTCAGTCTGTGGCACACAAAATTCCTTAACAGCACCAAAAACTTTCCTCAAACCATGTTCCCTTTCTAATGGAATGCTTTATATGGTGAGCATGTGAACCTTTCTTATGACAAACCCATTCAAAGCCATTTGAACGATCATTATTTTCGACCATACGCATTTCCTTCGTACAAACAGGACACTTATAATTCCACTGAATTACATCTAACAAAGTTTCTTTTCTTTTTTCTTCTGTCCTGAACCACTTTAAAAACATAAATACATAAAATAAAATTTTAAAAAATCTAAAATGTTTCAGATTTTAAATTATGTCCAAAGGGGTGCTTTTTTTTAACATTTTGTGTGTTACATTTATTTATTAATATCACGTTCTTCACACTTAAACCATAAAATTCAGTTCAACAGCAGCATCGCAAAATAGTTTTAAAATCAGCATATCTTTAAAATTGCCAGTACAGAGACGGATAAAAATGCAGTACAGGTAAAAATGTTTTTTCTGTACAATTCTGCCATTGCTCGCTTTGAAATCCTTGAGTTTGTTAATCAAAACTTCATTAAAGTTTTACAGAATATGAAATCGATAATAAAACAAATTTTGAATTTGGTGTTCCACATGCCCATATTTGTAGTATTATTATGTCATTCAAAATTCAGTAGCTCTATATACCATTGTTTTATCACAATGCGCAAAATGTACATACATTTATGTAGATTTTTCATTATGTAATATCTTTAAATATAACACAGGGCAATAATACTTTATGGCAACAGTTTGAAAAGTGATTCGCCGTTTGTAGTGAGTCGACGCAAAATTGCAAAAAGAAAACAATAGTCTTTCAGGGGCAAAGCCTCTTTGGACTAAATCAATGCCCCAATCATCAGTTAACTAACAGACAGCAAATTCTGTAGTATTGTTCTAAATCGAGAAAATCCGCTACTAATAGTGAAGATTGTGACAGAGAGGTTCTTGAGAAGGAAATAATTCCAACTGACAATTTAGTGGGAATTTCCAGTGCAGCAGTAACAGGACTTGAACAACGGAACTTTGTGAGCAAGATATTGTGTCTCTCTGTTGACTGAAAGTGAAAGTATTAGAAAAAAAAAATGAAATAAATTAAACAGTTGAAAGAAATATTGAACACAAATACATATTGAACTTTTTTAGTAATGTTTTATTTATTCCCTTAAGATCATAAATCACTATTTCATATTTTTAATTTTATAATTTCTACATGTCATCTTATCTTACTAGATTTAAACTAATGGTTTAATATCCTGCAATATCACAAATCCGGAATCGCCGAAGTCTCGATGAGTCCTGATCTTGGACTTTGTATTGTATTAATTATTTTTTATTACAGAGAGTTCATTTGGATATTCAAGTTGGAGAACATGCAGTTGATTATGGCAATGTGGCTCAGAAAGAAAAGCTAACTGAATTACAACTTCGAGTTCGTCAATTATTAGACCAAGTGGAACAAATAAGTAAAGAGCAGAATTACCAAAGGGTAAGTGTTTTTTAATTAATGGATGAATAAATGTTCATGTTTGGAGAGGTAAATGTGGACTTCTATTTTCTTAAATACCATATTAACTTAAAGGGTAGAAGGTATCATATTTGATGGTTGTAAATAAACTAGTGGCAATACTGCTAGTATGATCATTTAATCAAACTCAAAAGCAAAATTATATAGTAGTCAATGTAATCACTAGCAAGATCTTGCAGTTTTCTCTTAATTAATGGAAACCATTGAATGCCATCAGCAAGTGGATTTTTGTTGACTGCAGTGATGTATTGTGATATTGTGAAGAGTACTGATTGAATATGGATGGAATTAATATGTTCACAAAGTTTGGTAACTGAGTTTAACTTTTACCAAATTCCTGAACAATCCATTGGCATTCAACAGAAAAGAGACATCGCACTACTTACAGGTCATTAAAGAATAGATTGGTGACTTGTAAAGGCCAAATATCCTGACTATTTAAATTTAAATGAAACATACCTACCCATCTTGCAAGCATTCCAGTATAATAATGCATAATTGTCAAGTTTCAAGTAAGTCTGGATAAAATTTCCAGTGCATTTTTGCAACAGCCATCTCATTCTTTATCCATGACTGCTTTTTTATGTTTTGTAAACATGCTATTCTTTTCACTTTTATCATGCACATCACCATTGAAGAATAGTAACTGCAACCAGAGATGTGTTGACTTCTTTCTGCATTCCAAGCATTAGCAGTGGCTCCATCTAAAATTGCTTAAAACATGCTAGTACTTACACATATCATAGCTGCCAGATTTGCCAGTTTTACTGGGAAACCTTCATTTATTCTTCCCATCACTGAGTAGATCACTAAATTTTTTGGTTTATAATTTTTAGCTTTTTCTAAGGAAAATTTTCATTTTGCCCACACCTATTGATTTTCAGAATAATTTTTATTATTGAATTTTCTTCATCTGAACTGTATTTTTTCTTATTGCATTTTAGTCACCTTTATTATTATTATTATTATATTTCACTTGATCTGAGTTGTCTTAAGTGTGCTGTAAACATTTCTAGAATTTTAAAGATTTAAGCAATGTTGAATCAGTTAATATTTGTATTTAATTTTATTTTACTTCAATATATAGTGCATTATCAAGTTTATCTACACAAATACTATGTATAAGAATTATTTTATTTTCGTTATATTTAAAAGTATGTTGATAAATAAGTTTTTATTCTATTTTTCAGTATAAAAGTGTAAGAAAATGAAATTAGCTGAAGAACCTAAAATTTAGAATAGCTAATTAAATGCTAATATATTTTACATCAGAATCATATTACAAATACTGCTGGAGGACAAAATAATGCAAACACCTGTGAAAATGTATGACTTACTTCACACCTGCAGTACAGCCGCTCCACGTGCGACAGAAGTCTGCCACTTAGTGAGCGTGAAGAGGAAGGTATTAGTCTCTCAACAGCAGTCACCTGCATTGCATGCTTCGATCGAACTGTCTGTGAGAAATTGAAATGTCAGGCCTGTCAGAGTTCCAAAGAAGAATGATAGTTGGAGCACGTTTAAGTGGAGCATCGGTTATGGAAATAACAAACCTTGCGGGGTGGGCAAGGAAGTATGGTATCAGGCATTATAACAGCTTGCACGAAAGAGGGTAAGACGACGTCTTCACAACAGTGGCTGAAAGTCAAAGCTGGCTGATAGGGATAGATGGGTCTTGAAACGCGTAGTAGCCCGAAAGCACAAGCAATCGTTATCTGAGATTACATCTGAAATGAACAGTCATCTTCAGGGCTCCATTTCAACAAAAACTGTCAAAAGGGAACTTCATGCTGCGAACATTTATGGCAGAGTGGCAATTCGTAGACCCTTGGTGACTGCAACTAATGCTTACGGTGCAGAGATCACAAAGGCTGGCCCCCACAGCAGTGGCAAAAGGTAATATGGTCAGATGAATCGTCATTCACCCTATTTCACGACCAGACATGTTTATGTCTGGAGAATGCCCAAAGAAGCGTTTCATCCTAACTGCCTCTTGCCGACTGTGAAACATGGGAGTGGCGCCATTATGGTATGGAGTGCGATATCTTGGCGCAGTCTTGGGCCACTTATTATTCTGCATGGGAAGATCACATGCAATCACTATCTAAGTATTCTAGGGTATCATGTCCATCTTTTTGTCCAGACTGTATTTCCTGGGGAGTGACCTATAGAGGACAACATCCCTATCCACACTGCTAGGTGTATTCAAGAATGGTTCAAATAGCAAGACGAGGCAATTGAACATCTCGCTTGGCCTTCCTCAGTCTTCGGACTTGAATATTATTGAACATTTATGGGCATATTTGGAGTCCAAACTTCGTTCCCAATTTTCACCTCCATCCGGACTTTCGGAATTAGAAACCACTTTGCAGGAGGAATGGCTTAATATTCTTTAAATATTGTCCATGACCTTTATACATCTATCCCACGTCAAATTCAATCTATACTTCAGTCAAAGGGTGATCCAACCCCCTGTTAATAAAGATTTTCCATTATTTCTCAAGATAAATAAAAATAATAAAGATTTTCCATTATTTCGTATTATTTTGTCCTCCATCTGTAGTTCAGCTATCTGAATTTTACATTATAAATTAAAGTCTTTGAAATCTCTTTTATGAGGCATTGCTATGCAGAGTAAAAAACACCTCCCTATTTCTACATGAAAAATTCCCCTTTTATTTCTTTTCGATTTCAAAGTTAGAAACTGCATAATTCTCTTTTAATATAGTCTGCTGTGTATTCTGTTCTTTTATGGTTTTCCTCATATATAATAACATGAACTGCATCTCCTCCCATAGGCATGCCGTTCCTGTGTGCTGTGCCATATTTGAATTCTGTTGTGTTTCATTCTATATTATATATTGTTCAGTTATTTGATGTTGCTTGTGAAATCTTATACATTCCATAGCTGCCAACACTCTTGGTTGTACCAGAAGACGTCCAGGTTTTCATCACCTTTCCGGGTAGATCATTAAATTTCCTGGTTTTTAGTTGTTAGCCTTTACTAAAAACAATGGGTACTCTTCTGTTATTGGGACTGTATTCAGAAAAGTATTCATGCATGCACGTGTGCACATATATATTGTTACAGATTTCGTATTTATTTAGCTATTATTAGTAGAATTTATAATTAAAATTGTTTTATATTCCCATGCAATGCAGCACAAGACTTATTTGAAGAGAAAACTATGCCGGAAAAATTAAACTACAGGAACATTTAACATTTTAATAAATAGATATCTCATAATTGTACTCTTTTGCTATACAGAAAAATCGAGAAAATACCAGAATGTTCTTGCGCAGGATTAAATAGCTTATAAAAGCAGGATCAAAACATCTTGATTCAGTTTTTTACTTAGTGCTGTAACGAATTGCTGTGAGATTGGATTAGCTTTGTTTTTGAATTGAGTTCTATATATATTTTAGTAGTTCAAAATATAACTACTATGAGATATTACAATATTGTACGAATATCTCTGAGAAAATTTCAGCATTTTGTTTTATTTCTTGGGATAAGAATAAATTTTATTAACTTTATATCGACTTGTGCATTCAGTCCATTACGAACCCGTACGCATGCAACATTTTTTGGTGTCAGAAGTGGGATTTGAATGCCAATCACAAGAGCGATGGAAGAACAATTAAGGTTAATAATTAACAATAATAGTTAGCTATACAATGAATGTTGCTGTCATGCAGTGTGCTTTAAAATTTTGTGTGAGTGCAGCTGAACCTCCCATTAGTTGGATATTCATGAGACCAAGGTTTTTATCCATTATCAAAGGGCAGTCACTAAATGGGAATGCACTCCTGTCCTATTTCAAGAACCTGGGAGTTCTAGAATTATCCATTAATAAGGAGTTTCTGGTTAACGGAAGTTTGACTTTATTGTCTGTTGTCCTATAACAGGGTCGGAAATAGTAGTCTGTGATTGTTCAATGCTGGCAGTTGCAGTGCATGAGCATTGAACATTTTCAGCTTAAAAGCTTCCCAGACTTTTTTTTACTATGTAGATTTACTAATTCACATAGTCATTATAAATATATTTTTATACAGTGCAGATACTTTCTCAACAGCATATCACTTCCATTGATAGCCATGCAACAAGTGTATTCAGCCTATTGTAACTACCTTCCACATTATACTAAGGCTGCGTAATGATTTTTAGAGTTGAAAATGATTGAATAGTTTTTATAGAGATTTACACTTTTCTATAGCATATACTTATTCCTTCAGTTTTGGATTGTAGACTTAAATTCTTGGTTATATAAATAAAGTTATGTGCATTTCTTGAGTTATCCATTTGCTGAAAATTAAAACATTATTTTCAAGGATTTTATTAATTTATATATGGCTGTATATATTTATTACTAAGGAATTTTCTCATTTTTAGTGTAATTATTTCATTGTTGAAAATGACTAAACATCATAATATTTAATATACTGTGTAATTTTTTAAAAAACTGTTTTCTTTCAATTGCAGTATCGAGAAGAACGATTCCGTCAAACAAGTGAAAGTACAAATCAAAGAGTTTTATGGTGGTCTCTTGTACAAACTGGAATATTGCTTTTAATGGGCTTCTGGCAAATGAGGCATTTGAAAAGCTTCTTTCAAGCTAAGAAACTGGTGTAAATTAATGTACTGTTTTTTGGCATTCTACATAATTTGTCACAAAATGCTGATACAAAAGTATTCATAATCATATTAAATAAAACATTCGTAAATAAAAAAATTTGTGCATTTTTATCTTTTGTATTAAATTTGGAATAAATAATATAGTATATTGCCATTAGACAGCATTATTTCATCAATTTGGGGGGAAGATGTGAAGCAGTAAGCTTACAATAATGATGTAAAATTTCAGATACTTAGAATATTATTATAATTTATGTGCAAAGGTAAAATAAAATATTTTCTAGAATGAACATTTTAGTTCAAATCAAAGAAACTTTTTTGCAACAGTAAATAACATTAATTTGATGTTGTCTACATGTATGTATATTTTATAGAAGTGTTTTGAAATAAATTTTATGATTTTTTTTCTTTTTTAATTTGTTTGTTGAATTCTATATTTTATGTTACTGTAAATAATGTATTGCTTTTGCATTTGAAATTAATAATTTTTAATAGTATAATTTTTTATGTTTTATTGTCAAAGAAGCTTGCACTTTACTATTTAAAAGAGAAAAATCTGTAACTTTTCCCTGTAAATGAATTTATATATGTGGAACAGAATTATTTTAAAATTCTTATAACAACTTAATTTATTATTATTATTATTATTATTATTGAAAGTAACAACAGAGAAGCCTTAGTAGCATTTACTGATCTGATAATTTTTAATTTTGCTGTTCTTATGTTTCCATTGATTATGTGATTACTTTGATATAAAACTATGTGAGTTTTTGGAAGATAAGTAAATTATTTGTTAACATGGAATGTGTTAATTTATTCATCTAACATGGTTACAGACTTTTAAAAACAATAATTTCATTAATCAATTTATCAAAAAAAAATTTAACTGGCTTTAAGATGGTTTATGATATGAATAGTTTTTTTATACTTTTAATGTTAAGATTTGAAAGAAAGTAGGGATGGGACATTCAAATCCAGTAGATCCTTAAAAGATTGAACATTTTAATACTAATCTAAACACTGTTAAGTATTTTAACTCAAAATTTGAAAGTATTCCTTTTATTGATAATTAATGCTTCCATTAATTAAAAAAAGAATGAAATATGTGCATTTTTTTGTAGTAATTTAGTATCATATCATAGAGGATTTGATTGAAAAACTATTTTATTATTCTATATAGTAAAATCTATTGGAATTTTTAAGTAATCGGTGTGTTCTCTTAAAAAAATTAACCCTAAAATTTTCTGAATGTGGATAATCTGTTGGTAAAAAAATCTTGAATATTTCTAGTTATGTTTTTTATTATACAAATGCTTGATTTTGCGCACCTCTAGTTGTCTGTTAATTGGAATGGGTTGACATCTTAGTTGAATTCTTTAATAACAGCTGTTTAGTATTTTATTGTTAAACAAAACTTGAAATGTAACCAAAATACTTTCTGTTAAATTTTCTTAAATAAATAAAAATAAACGAAGATTCAGAAGTTTTAATTATGTATTTGACTTACTAAAATTCCATTTGTATTTTCATAATAAATATAGGGGTATTATTAAAAATTCTACTCTTAAATTTGTTTTCCATTAGACTCAAGTTTTAAATTCTGCTTTATTTCACAACTTTCACTGTTAGTTCATTTCCCCTTTTTTCTTTTATTTTTATTGAAAGATATGAGAATCTTTTTAGATTTATCATACCTCTAAAAGAAAGTATTTATTTATGATCATCAGTTAAATCTTTAATTTTGTAAAAGTTTTATTGGTGAGAAATTCATATGAAGACAAGCAAGTTTGCCTTAAACTGCCTGCTTTGCTACAAAGAGATTCATAAAGGCTACTACATATTTCACTGTAATCAATAAACAAACCACATGAAATTTCATTTGCAGAATACTAAAATAAAAAGAGGTTATGCATTAACTACTCAAATTTTAAAAAATAACTTGTTTTTACATACTAAAAAAAATTTACAGGAAAAGTCAAATAAAACAATTATATCTGAAATAAATTTATTATTCATAATTTTATTTTTCTAAATTTAGATTAATGGAAGTACTAACTTGAGCCATACATAAATTTCTTTTACTAGGAGTAAAAAGATTATAAGCTATTTTTTCGTGACAGTAGTTCTATGCCAAACTAAGGTACTTTTTTTATCATAATTAAAGTTTTATTTTGGTATGTTTTTCATCCACTTTGATGTATATGAGGTGGTTTGAATTAATTTTGCTTTTGAAAATGATTACATTCTGCGTATTATTAACATAAAAATCAATAGTATTTTTTAATAAGTTAGAAATTGTTAAATTTTGGACTATGTCATTATGTTGGTTTACCTGTAATTCATAAGTTCTTAATTTTTTATCCTTTTTAAGCACATATTTTAGTTATTTTCTAACAAATATTCAAAATCTTAACTTTTTTATCTTTTCCATAATAGGAAAACGTGTCAAATAATTTTCTACAGAAAGCTATATCTAACAATTTTATGTGTTGTTACTTTTATCTCAAATTTATTACAAAGTAATTTTAATATTCATTCATTATTTTGAAACAACCAAAAATCAAACAGAGCCATGTCAGGTGAGTATGGGGCCTGACGAACCTCAGAAATGTTGTGTTCGGCGGGGAAAGCCTGAATGAAATGGGCAGGGGCGCTATCATAATGAAGCTGCCAAGTTTTTGCTGCTCGGAGATCCGGTCATTTGCGCTACACAGTGTAATGAAGGAATGTGATGGTTTGGCCTTGCAGGGTGTGCTTTTTTTGGTCTTGGGGATGACAGATGTTGCCACTGTGATGTCTGCATCTTGGTTTCTTGATCGTACCCGTACACCCATGTTTCATTGCCTGTGACCACGGTGTTCAGAAAATTGGGGGTCAGCGTTGACATTGTCCAGACTCCATTTTTAGCATCCTCGGTACAAATTTTGCAGACACTCTCTTCATGCCCAAATCCTCTTGAAAAATTAAATGTACTTATCTGATCACAATTTCTCGAACTGATCCTGCAAGACCAGAGTCTGCAGCTTCTCAGTTCCACCTTGTTGAGGGCCTACCTGAATGTGGTTCACTGTTCACTGATGTGTGCCCTTCTTTGAAGCAGTTGTACCACTCCTTGATGGAAGAGGTGCTAATGGACTCATCTCCGAAAGCCTGTTAAATCTTGCGTATGGCTGCTGCTTGGGTATCGTGAAGCTTTTGACAAAATTTGATGCAGTTCTCCTACTCAAGTTCTTCAGTCATTTTCCAACCATTCCACAAACTCTGAAATCTGACTAATGCTCACTCTAGAAATAGTGTATGAATGGATAATAAAAGCATGGTTTAATTTAAATCCGACATAATTCAAAGTCATTTTAAAATGCAATACATTTTGCATTCTAGGTGGAATGAACGATGATTATTTACTTATGTGTCAGAGTAACAGTACTGGTGTAGAAGAAACAGAATTTGATGATGTGCCTAAAGGTATAACGGAAGACGAATATGACGAACATTTCATGTTATCAGATAATGAAAATTTTGAAGTTCATAAGGTATGTCATTTCTTTTATAAAACATTTAGGTACATAGTAGAAATCCAATTTTTTTATACTCACCTTTTCCTTATTTAACATATTCGTGATTTTACTGAATAACTGAGTACTTTATATCGGCAGAGTTGAGCCAAGATGAAGTGACACATTTGTTTCAGTTGAACAACAAGGAGGGCTAGGAAAATAACAAATGAATTTCAGAGAAATTTTAATAATTTGCTGCTGATGAGAAAACGAGCTGCCGTCAGCGTTTTTGTAAATTCTTATTGTATGTTGTACACTAACTTCAAGGTAGGAAAAAAAAGCAATTTCATATTTTAAAATTTCTACCTGAATTAATAACATTCAGATTAATAGTATTAATTTATTCGTATCCCTGCTGCAGTTCATTTTCATTGTGCTTGTAAATTGGGCTCTTTTTCCTCTACTGAAGTGTTATAGAGCTATAGTAGCAGTTCAATAAGAAGAAAGCAAAAGGAAAAAGATTTCTACAGTCTTACAATGTTTTCTATAAAATATTGTAATTAATTTTGTATTTAGATAAGTAATTCTATTAGAATTATTATTAAAAGTGTATTTCCTTGTGCAATGCAGCACGAGACCAATTTTAAGAGAAAGCTATGCAGAAAACATAAGAATACAGAGACACGTTCATTGAACATTGAGTAAATGGATATTTCGGTAATTTGCACTGAAATTGAATAGCTCTAACTGACCACTGTGTTACCTGTAACCGTAATTTCATCCTCATATTGCTTTCCAATAAGCAGAAAATATGAGAAATATCTAACGACCGGTTGAAAACTATAAACAGCTGGAGAGATAGCATCTTAGTTCAGTTCCTTGGTTACAGTTGTTGCGAGTTGTTTAGCTCCGTGTGAACTGAGATACTAGAGTTAGGTTTCTCTTTAGATGCACTTTGCTTTGCATTGTATTTAACGTATTTATTAGTTTGAAGTGTACCTACTGATGTGTGATACTGTGAACACTCGTGCGAATATTTCTGTGGAAAATTCCAGAGTTCTGAAATATTTCTTTTGATAAAGATAAATTTTATTAACCTACTATCAGACTTGTGCATTCAATCTATTACGAACCTGTACACGCAACACTTTTTGGTGTCAGAAGTGGGATTGAATGCTAGTAACAAGAGCAATGGAGGAGCAGTTAAGACAGCTTTTGGCAGCCTTTGCTGCATTTAAAGAAGAGATGAAAGATTCCGTTAAAGAGCAAATGAAAGTTCGCCAAGAATCCATTAATGAAGATATGAAAACCCTTCAAGAAAAGATAGAAGCTGGTCAAGAATTTGTTTAAGAGGAGATGAAAACTGTTCAAGAAGACTAAAACAGGTCAAGAGGAAATTAAAAGAGAAATTACCTCGTAATAGAAAACAAATTTGAGGCTATGGAAGGCAGAATAGAGCTGTTGAAAATAAAGTTGAACACACTTGAAGAGATAATTTCTGCTATGGAGCAACAAATTGAAGAAAGAGTTTCTGCCTTCAAACAACAAATCGAAGACAGAGTTTCTGTCGTCGCCAAAGAAGTTGATACTTTAAAGAAATTCGTAACGACGGAAAGGAGCAACTTTGGTGCTTTTAAATTTTCACCCATGCCTACTCGTCCCTCTCTGAAGCTATCCACATATGATAGGAAGACCTCCTAACAAGTGCAAAAGACACAATTTTCTATATTGACAGAAGTAAATGGATGGGATTCATCTTGTCGCTTCTTTTAGAGCAGATACAGCGGATATCCTTCAGACTCTTCCGCAAAGGCTAGATTTTGAAAATCTATCTGGTGCATTGAAGCTGAAATGAAATGAAATGTTTAAAAGACTACATCAGGCTTCAATTAAAATCCAGTCAAGGATCAAAGTGAAGCAAGTCACTGTGAAAATGGAGAAAAATTTGCTGACTCAAGCATCTGTAAACGAAACCAGAACTCTTGATTCACGAGCAACAGCAATGAATTTGAAGCTTCCAAAAATAAATTTAATTGAATTTACAAGTGATCCACGATAATGGTTGAATTTCTGGTATACTTTTAGTAAGATACACGAAGATGCAGTTCTAGATGATCATTTCAAATTCGTATATATGATCTAGGGTACTGCTGCCAAATCGAAAGCAAAAGAATTAGTGCAGAGCTTCCCGACAACTAAAGAAAATTATTGTTCTTCTTCTTATTTATTGAATCTTGTGTTGATAAATAATAGTGCAACCAAAAAGGACTTTACGCTACCATCGTTGTACAACAGTTTGGAAACAAAACTGCGTGCTCTGGAATCTCTCTGTGTGACTGAAGATAAATACGCTAGTGTTATTTTTCCGTTAGTTGGATCTATATTATTATATTGAGTTATTGAATCTTGTGTTGATAAATAATAGTGCAACCAAAAAGGACTTTACGCTATCATCGTTGTACAACAGTTTGGAAACAAAACTGCGTGCTCTGGAATCTCTCTGTGTGACTGAAGATAAATACGCTAGTGTTATTTTTCCGTTAGTTGGATCTTGCCCCCCCCCCCGACATCTTGTGTGTGTGTGGGAGAGGGAACGGGAGAGCGTCTCAATAAGGTAAGAGCTTAAGGAAAAAATATGTATTTAACTATTAGCAATTATGTTTTTAAACTCTTACTCATTTAATTATTTAGCACATTCAGTTATATTTCTCATAATTTGAAACTTTTATCATGTTATTCGATGAGGGGTAGGGCTATGGCGCCCAGACACCCTGGTGGTTAAGCACCGCAGTTCAATGCATGTATAAGGTAAGAGTGATTTTGAATCTATTCTTCTCTTTTTTAAAAATGAAGCGATATCTGAAGAAAGAATTAAATTAGTGCATTTTTCTTTTGATAAAAGTAGAAAATCTAAGAGTTGCATTAATCATAAGTCTAATATTCCTACTTGTAATGATTTCTATACAGGAGATAAATTTAAAGAAAAGGCTCCT